TTACAATTGCAAACTGCAAGAATATACTCCATAAATTAGAGCTTTCAATTTTTTTCAAAAGATCGACAATGATTCCTTCTGGTGACAGAGGATACAAGGACGAGCGGATCGGATTCTTGCGCGTGCGTTCAAGATTTCGCGAGGTACTTCGCGAGAGGCCAACGAAAGTGAAAGCTACCGGCGCGGCGGCGAGACGCGACGTTCGGCCAGTCGAATCGAGTCACGGGAAGCTACCGCAACCTAGACTTCAATTCATCTTGCCTTAATCGAATTTAGAAGGGATAATCTCTCTCGTTCGAGAATGATGACGGTGCAATCGGTTCCGGCGTTTTGCTGGGTGTCGTCGCACGCTCTCTCCCTCTTTCTCTCTTATAGATTGTTCTTTACAAATACTCTACACATATTGCATTCTCGCACGAACATATCTATTGTTATCTTGATTTTATTTTATTTTAATTCTTTTTAATAGTTTATTTCTCTATTATTGCACTGATTGTGGGAAAGGAAGATGGTTGCAGTTATCATAATACTATAATTTGTAGTCATTTTTCGGAATAACTGTATACAATTAAGCAGTGGCTATCGATTGAGCATATATAGAACTTGGTCAGTTCAGCCGTTATTGAGATTTGATAATCTCAATCTGTCGCAATTCGCCGGGTCGCGTAAAGTAGTTACGGCAGTGTCTCTGCGCTTGGCTTAGCGCCGAGATATTACCGTGTCTCCAGATTATTTGGAATAACTATTATACCTATTTATAGTTGTTTTAACCGTGCAAATATAATTTGTTATGCTATTGATAATAGTCACGCATTGTTTAAAAGTTTCTAGTTAGAAAGTAGCAAATAAATTTAGGAAAATAGTTATATATTCACTATAATTACGATTACATTTAGCTACTGAATATATAAAAATGTTTATTTTATTTACCATTTATTTATATCTTGACATTTTATATATGAGTATAAAAATATATTTAATATGTGCTATAAATTGTAATTTGATCAATATAAAAATCATTATGAACGAGAAATATGATATCTTAATTTCAAAGAAATTTTCATTTATCCGAAGAAATAATTTTTTTTAATACGAGCAAAGAAATGTTTCTTTGAAATTAAGATATTATTTATTAGTGTAGTATAATTTTTTCATGTTTAACAGAACAACTATAAATATATTGTTATTATTATTAAAATTATAGCAGTAATAATCATAAAAATATAGCTCCTGATCATAATTATTTACATTATTTTACCATGAAACCACAAACACCAAACACTTTTCTGTCAGTGTGTAAGGCTTTTAGGCCGTGTATTCCTGTAATATACATATACATATTATAATCTTATATATAGTACAATAATGTGCCTCGCATGTTACGGAACTAACTTCCAGGGCGCAAATAAATTATTTATCTCTCTTTTTTCTCCGACACTTTTTTAATTTTTTTATCTTTTTCTCACGAGATCGAGTGATTAATGGAGGAGAGCGCGGTAGTTGTGGCGAAGTGTGACGCGACCTGGAAACCCCTTTGGTTCCCTTATGCAGTAGACATCTCTCGGAACGAGACCGTGACTGTAGAAGAGAAAGAGAGAGAGAGAGAGAGAGAGAGAGAGAGAGAGAGAGAGAGAGAAAGAAAAGTCGAAAGCGCGTTTCTTACGCAATAATTTTTTTAGTAACCATCCGTGAAATAACAGCGTCGTAATGTCGCCGCTGCCGTCACGTTGTCTCGTCTCGAACTCACCAAGATGATCATCGCGACGATGAGCAGTGAGGATGAAACACCTATGTGTACAAGCACGATTATAAATCGAACGAAAATATCACGTATGTGCGTCCGATTTCGTATGCACAATTACTGAATTAATGACGACCATTTATCGCTTGGAATTGCACAGTTGGAAGAATATCTCTCTGAAATTCAGTGATGTGACCTTTCGTCGCCATTTAAACTCGTTTTATCATTACTAACAATAAATATATTAATAAGTCAACAATTTTGATTAGGCCATCAAAATAATTACAGGCTGTTCAAATTGGTGGAATAGAACGTTAAAACTTTTTGCAATCTTTGCGCTGTATAACAAAATTGTTCATTAACGCTTACATACTTACTTCGATGATTCAATAAAATTATTTTCAGATCTAGCTAGGTGTTTTATAGATACTTTTGTAAATTTGTTATTGAAAACTGTTCAGTTTTATTATTTGAAAATAAAACTGATACTGAACAATTTTAAAAAACAGTTTTTAATACTTTTAGTAAAACTGATACTGAAAAGTATACTAAAAATTGTTCTTTAAAACTATTTATTACTGTCGTAATAAAACTATTTAGTATCAGTTTTATTTCTGAAAAGTAATAAAAGTGAACAGTTTTAAAGAATTTTTACAAACTACTGAAAAATAGTAGAACTAATACAGAATAATTTTCAGTACTTTTTAGTAGTAAAATTGTTCAAATCTATATTTAACTATAAATTTATATATTTCATTTAGATATATACTTCAGCAAAACATTTTTTCCACATACAAAAAAATACGCAAGTAATAATTACTTATTTCAAGTATTTCAAAAGTTTACATCCGCAAATCTATCATAAATTCATCACGAGCATTAAATTTAATCAAAATATATTTTTTGAATCCTAATACTTAAAATTTAATACTTAAAATTTATTGAATTATATATAAAACAAATTCGATTTATAATACTTATTACGAAATGTTTGTTTCTTCATCAATTTTATAATATTTTTCAAAAGAAAATAAATTCCTGTTTTTTAAGTAAAGTAAAAGGAAGAAGAATTAATTGTGAGTAATCACTTTTCTTAGTAATAAATTGATTAAATTTACTGTATGGCATATACATATATTCTTTAGTTTATTGCATGATGCATGAATATTTTTAAAAGAAACATTCCTGAAAACGCGGAGTGTACATAATTTGACATCGACTGCAATTTGCTATTAGGCAATTGGGAGATGTAAGAGAGGGACTCACAAGATCGCATCACGGATGCGATCGGCGATGCGTTCTCCAGCGGTTCGGCGGAAAAAAGTACCGACGGCTCTTGCAGGTCGGTGAATTGCGGAACGTTGCAAAATCCCAACGTTTGCGCAATTAAGCGGCGAGCGTCTCGACCGACGTCGCTGAGAAAAGAAAACGCCGGGCTAAAATTTTGTAGTTGTAGTAATACCGGTCTCTCGTTAAGGTCTCGTGAACGTGTGCACATTTTACCTCGTATATCTCGATTGCGCCACGTATCGTTACAATCCGAGCTGAATTGTTGCGCGAGCGTAAACGGCGCGTAAAGCGATCCGGCTAATAATCCACATTACGTACCAATGGGCGTCTAACTGAGCAGCGTTTTTGCTTTAACCTCCCCTCATAAAAGCGATAATTTCCGATTATAATAAACGGATGAGTGACAATAATAACGACAAAAATATAATTAATACAAAGAAATGATATATATGGCTGATCAACGCTCTCGCAGTCCCTCCTGTAATTGTATCCGTAATTGCAGCGACAGCTCGAGAACGTTACGTTGTTCGTTACGTTGATCTTGACATTTAAACCTCCATAAGCTTGTAATTCGTAATATTCTATTTCCATGCTTTACGATCGAGCGATGAATGAATGAAAGTTCGTCGGCGGATGATTTCACGTTTCTTCTTTTCTCTTTCTTCTTTTTGCTACAGTTAAGTTTATTGTGTCATATTATACTCAATTTGTGTAATTTTTAATTATTTTTATATGTATAATAAGTCACTATTATTTCTACTTAATATATGTTATTAATTTAATTAAAACAATGAAGTTACATAATTTAACCCAAAAAAATATATTAAAGACTCTAATTTAGTTTATTTACTATACTAAATATAATATAGATTATGTTTACTTTAAAACTAACTGCAGAATTTGATTTACATTTCAACACACATGGATCAAGGTTAAAAATAACAAAATGTTATTTAACTTAGGAATTGGGTTATCATTGTTTCTTTGATAATCTAACAATATATTTCAGACAGTACTTCCAGTAGAATTGAAATTTTTATCAATGAAATCGCTGTTCTTTCAAATCTTAAAGCCCGCAAAAAATTAATTTTCATTTCGCAACGAGATGTTTGCAAGTGCATTTTGAATTCCGCAAATACTTAGTTCCAGAGTAGTATGTACTTAGTTCTCTCGATTAGTATCATTTCGCAAGTATAATATGCCACTCCTAAATACCACTCCTTATATCCGCAATAATTTGATGGAGATTGCGACACATTGAGAGGTGTGCATCTGCACTAAGAAAAATGTCTACGGAATTCTGATTGAAAATGTGCAAATTAGAATTTTGTAGTTACCCAATAAAAGAAAATTGTGTATTTGTGTTGGTAACGGTCCACTCACGTCTGTGTTAACAGTTTGTGTTAAATTTTTTGATATATTCGAGTGTTAATTTAACATTATGTGATTACGTTATTTAAAGATTTTGTGTGAAAGTGATATTCAACGTTTCTTAGTGTCAAAATACATAATTTATGAGTAAATGGTCGAGTAACATAGAAATAGTGTGTTTTAAAACGTAAATTCTAAGACAAATAAATAATGAATGCTTCTCACGGTTTGTTTAATATCTGTATCGGTATTATCTTTTTTGTATTCATTTTCTTACATAATATTTGTGTAACCTTTCTAACATGTTCATAGGATAGGATAAGATTCGATATTTTATAACTAGAACGTTTGGTAGACTTAACTATACGGATTTTTATAACTATGTAAACTCTGGGGTACACACGATGCTTGTTTTCTTGCTGGATTGCTAGCTGGATTAAATTACTGACAGTGCTAGTATCGTAGCCAATACGGTGGTTTTTACTAAGATTCTAATCCAGCTAGCAATCCCGTTAAAAAAAACAAGCATATCGTGTGCCATCGGCGTTTTACACGTCGAACTCAATTCCAGCTCGCTAAAGATAAACATCTGTTCTAGAGGTGGAGTGCGAGGTGTCTAGCCAAGTGGAATACTCGCTGCAGGCGATCTGGGGCGTCTGCATAAGAGAGCTACATCTAGCGCTCTGGAAACCCTGGAGCACGTTACGAGACGCGTCCCTGAATGGGACCCTTCTACAGGGCCACGCTCAGTATCTCACGCCGCCACAAACGTATCCTTTAAGAATCACTCCGAGATGACTTTAATTAACGCAGAATTTTGAACGACTTTGTGCAAGTTTCGAGGCGTGAAATAATAAATAATAATAATTTCACATAATCTAGCTCTAGCAGGTTGGTCACTTGCAGATTTTGGAAGAATGTCTGATAGCTCTAGACCTTGTCTTCCACGATGAGGATTTAACGAGAAAATTATGTATAATTGCACGTTTGTTAAACCAGTTAAACTGGGAACAGTTACAACAAACTAACTCACGGACATTCTTAGACTATTTTTAAAACATTTTTCTTGATCTCATTTACATTTTCAAGAACGTTTGATCGACTTATTCGCTAATCAGCTGTTTTTATTACTCGTGTTTTTTACTCGCACATTTTTTCAACTGCTATTATCCTTGACCGAAACTGCAGTAGACAGCCGCACGGTGAGGAAACATTGAGACTATCTTTACCAGCTCCTGAACTCGAGCTCGGCACTCCGCCGCGGCTCTGCTATCCTCTGGTAATTTTCCTTACTCGAAGAGATAATCGGGATCCTCATCCTGACGAAACCGTGAGTAACTTCTTTATCATTTTATAAAATATTATCTAAGATAACTCCGGTATATATTGTGTACCGCATTATCAAAAACTTAATTTATTTATCTTGGGTTGGAGAAAAAATTCTGTGATATATTTTATTAGCTGAAAATTGTATATTGCACATTTAAAAAGTTAGCGATTATACCATTCGATAGAACAAAGTTTCAGCTTTACGAATTTGATTTTATAATTGCGATACGATAATTTTTAACGAATTTATGAAAAATTAAAATGAAAATATTCCTTTACTTGCGAATAATTCAGGAACAAAAAATCGTAGAAACATTTTGAAAACAAATTTTTAGGAAAAATTTTAAGCTTTTACGTTAGATAGTTAATAATTTTCGTAAATTTTTTTTGATATACGACGGACTCACAAATTGAAAAGAAAAATTTCTCTCTTCTTCAGTTTGTATTTTTCTATGTGTAAAAATTATCCAATTTACATGAATTAGAAAATTATAAAATCTTTTTGAAAGAAGAGATTTTAATAGAATTAACGAAAAGATTTTAAATTATAATACCTTTTCTTTAAATTATCACTTTTTAATTTTTGATGAAAATATCGTGTATGTGTGTGTGTAACATACACATACGTATAGTTTTGAGCTACAAAAACCGTAGAACTTTTCCTCCAACCTAATAGTTTATCTAAAGCTTGATTTAATATAAAATTTTATTATATTCCTCTCAAAGGCAATACATATAATAGTAGAGTGACTGCATGTAAATTGCCTCTACTTCTTTTATTTTTTCTAATTTTCGTGACATTTATGACAATTCGTGACAGTTATATATGTTTCTGTAAAAGAAAAAAAAAGCAAAACTCATCTCACTTTCATTATCATTCATCATTTCTCGTTATATCTGTGTTTAAGGTGGCCCTAGTGAACGTCGTTCACATTAAAGACAGCGTGTGCACTTTGCCGACTTCGATTCTAGCGCAGTATTTGAAGCAGGCAAACGGCCAACTGTCTTGTTTAAAGGTGAGTGCAAGATTATGAGACGATTAGCTCCGAAAGGTGAATTCCAGTATCTATCATTAATCATCGATATTTAATCTCTTAAATGTCGGACGCGAAAGATTTATATGTATATCCCAGAGATTAGTTATTAATTAAAGTAACTGCATTTAATACGGTCTAATATGATATGGTATAATATGAAGTAGGCCATAGCCTACTTGCTGTTTATAGATAGTTACATGGCTAATTCAATATTCAATCTTTAATATACCTACTCATGTAAATATTGAGAATATGTCATCTTTTTAATTAATATTCAGAAATGTTTCCTATTTTGAATCTGATGATCAATGTTTAACAAAAATCGTAACACTTAGATAGACCGTAACGTTATGTTACAAAAATGATAGAGATAGAAATGCGTTAACAATGGCCGCGATGATTCTCTCGAAACTCACTCAATGACAAACGACACCGTGACAACTCGCGCTCGCGATTTTTTCGCAGCAATTGTACCTAGCCACGGGCAACTCGAGCAATTACGACGAGAGCGACGCGATGTCGTCGGCTGGTCTAGGCTCGCCAGCCCTGGCGCTCGCTGAACCGTGCAATAACAACGATACCAGCAGCGCCGGCGCCGGCGGTCGCGGTGCCTTGGTGGCATCCGGCCAGAGTGGCGACCAGGAGGGCGGCTCGCTTTGGAACACCGCAGGCGAGCAGCTCTGCGTCGTCTGCCAGTACTTCCCGCTGTCACGTGCCCTACTACCATGCCGACACACTTGCATTTGCGCTTCGTGCTTCGGCAAGCTGGACCGGTGCCCGATGTGCCGCAGCCCGATCAAGAGCTACTTCTGCATACGCAGTGAGGAGTACATGCCACCGGAGAAGGAAATCAACCCGTGCAAGCAACGTCAGCCTAGCCACGGACCTACCCATTGGCTCCACGATTGGAATGACCGGCTCACCGATTTCCTCGGCTTTGCCCGATAGAAATACCACTATCACTAAGGTCGCACGTTTTATATAAGTAAACGTCAGGTCGGCAGACTTTTTGTTTAATATATACATAATTTCTGCAGATTTATTCCTACGTAAATTCCAGCTATTAGCAGCTATTAACCCGGCAAAATATTAAATATCTCGAAATGATTGCGTTTATTATTTAAATTGTTTTTATATGAAATGTTATATATATATATATATATATATACATACATATCATAATATATATATACATATATATGCGTATGTGTATATATATATATACACACACATATGTATAATGATATATTAATAATATTTTCATATATGTACAAAAATAAGTGGGAAATTAACTTTGAGAATACGAAACTTAGAAATTGATTTTTATGTCAAAACTTCAAAAATAATAATTAACAAATAATTTCAATATTATATAAGAAAGTTTTTCATGTTTTTTACTTATTCTTATTTTAATTTTTATAGTCATTTGTAAATGATAATGATTTTCTGTCCAAATTTGTCCTATGTAACTGAAAAAAACTACATAATTTAAATTCAATAGATAGCTTATTAACTATTACTTCTATCTCTTATTTATGTTGGAATAAATTTATAGGATATATTTAGGAAACAGAAAGCATCAACCGTACTGACACTGACATATCTTGATTTATCATTTAATTATAAAAAAAAGTGCGGAAGTTCGCAAGAATTTACAAAAAAATGCTATGCAGCCAGTAAACATAAAAACTTCATTTTTGTCCATTTTTCCAAAATGAAAGTAGTTAAAATTATTTTTTAACATTTTTTCAATTTTTTTATATCATGTATTTTTGAGAAAAAGAATGTTTACATTAAGAATTTATTCAAATATCTTTCTACGTAATTAATCAAGAATTATGCTTTGTCAGACTTTTTCTTCTGAAAAAATCGAGCTATCATTTATTCTTAATCGTTAATTTTTGACATACATGTACACCCACGCAACATGCGCACAATTCAGGAATTATGATTAATTTGATAGATTTCTCTAATTTTTTTGTATAAAAACATTTCTTTAATCTTTCATATTCTCTACACACACACACACACACACACACACACACATATACATACACATATAGGTTTTTAAATATAAATTGAAGAAATGTTCTAAAAAAACTCTTCATTTTTTGAAAAATGGTGTTCTAAAAAGCTTTTTATTTTTTGAAAAAAGTAATTTTAAATTTATGACTGAGAGAAGACATTATATATCAACAAACAAGAAATTAAAAAGATTTTCAAATTGTCAACGTTTTAAATAAAAAATTAATAATTTTAAAATGAGAGCTAATAAGAGCTAATACATAGCTGTTTTTAGCTTATTGATCATTTATAATGACTCACTCATATGAGATTGAGTAATGAACATTCCACACGTAGAGTATTTTTGTAACAAAAGGAGATATTTTATTAAGAGTGCAATATGACAAAAACAATAATAATATTAAAAACGGACTCTCAAAATTTTAAATATAAACAAAAATATGTAACTTTGTTACTTAGTTATCAGCAATTTGATAAGAATAAAACTGGATCAAAAATTCGAAACTAATGATCACAAGTCCGTACGTAACAATATGTCACTTGAATTTGAGTTTTACAAAAAAAATAAAATTGAAAGAATTCTAAATGCTAAATGATATATACAAGCAGAGAAGCTAAATTAAAAATTGTACATTAAAAGTAACCACGATGTATTATTAGCTTTTATTAGCCCACACACATATACATGTAAAAACTAATTTTTTATTTAAAATACCATATATATATATGTTCTCTCTTCTAGTTTGTTATTTGCGTCACTGCTGCACCAACCTGAACAAATTTCAACTCGCTCAATTAAGAAAAGATTGACTATGGTAACGAACTTCCGCACTCTGTTTAGGAGACAGAGACCACACGATCGGTTAGAATACACTCGACGTCATTTTTGTCTTTTCATATGAAATTAAGAAATTCTATTCAGAAAACCTAAACTAAAATTAAATTATTAAAAGACAAACAGTAAGTTATTCAATACAAAACAATAATTAATTAATTGAAAATAATTTTGCAAACTTTTTATTCAACTGTCATAGTGTAAGAATATTTGCACGCAATGTATTCGATCCGAGAGTAACTAATTCAGACATGAAGCTAAAATGACGCCATCGTACTCATTCAACGATCGGATAGCCTATTCAAAGGGGAATTTAAAAGTTGCCTAAATCAGAAGATACATATATGACATAATTACAAACGTTTTCGATCTTTAAGCAAATAGCACCATTCCTCTCGACTCTCCCCACCGTGACTTTATCCTATCTGTGTGATTGAGAGAAATTAAAAAATAATAAATCTATAGGTTTTAATTTAGATAAAAATTATTCAATTTGTTTAAGAGATTGATTTATATTTGTTTAATAGGATTCTCTTGTAATTGCAAAAATTATATTTTTGCAGAACTTCTTAACATCTCCTTTTCGAGTTACATATTTTTTGAAAGAGAAACCATATTAAGCATTAGATGATAATTGAAATAAAATTTCGAGGACAGTGACTGCGTTCTCCTAAACCTGAATGACCGTGTATGTAAATATAAGAGATTATACCGAAAATTTTTACTATGCGACGTTTTGTATGTAAGTACGTTAGATGTAAATATATAATGATAAAACGAAATCGATGGTACGATTGGGAGCAAAAATGCTGTCCAGTTTTGGTGTAGCGAGATTGAACTAATAATTTTTTCTACTTTCTAGCTTCTCCCTGACCAATTAACCGGTCAATCGCGGGAGAAGCAGATGCGTTTTAGAGGGAGAAGTTCAAAGATGCAAATCGTAGATTTAATATGAATAGACCGATCATGGCTTCGTTGAACTGCTATCAACGAATAGTTGGATATGACAGAAGAAGAAATATACGGACACTCTTTATTTCTTCACACAGAAAAATACTATACGCAAGTAATAATTACTTGTTTCAAGTATTTAAACAATTCATGTAATGACAAATTTATCATAAATTTATTTACAATATTCTATAAATTTCAATCAGTTTAATACTTCAATCAAAATAATTAAATTAAAACAAATTCACTTTGCTTACCGTACATATGAAGTCGTTTTAATTTTTAAATAATAAATTTTTGTTTTCAGTACATAAGTTTTTCTAAAAATAAACAAAAATTTTAATAGGTATATATTTTAGGATTATTACCAAGAAAGTAGATTTTGTTAAAGATAATTATCTTTAACAAAATCTACTTTCTTTCAATTTTTTTGAACTTTATGAAAGAAACAAAAAGAAAGTATTTTAGATCTTTGTTGTATATACATTGAAGTGTAAAAAAATATTTTTTTATAGTGATTTTGTCACAAAATGGCAACGCTACAGCTCTGCAATGATAACGTCTTCTCATGGACAATACTCTGCGGTCGGAACGATAACTCCGACAATTTTTAACCTAGAACAAAAAATCAAAAATTTTTTTAATCTACATTCCAAAAACTAGACAAAAATATACGGAAATTATCGGCAATATATATCATTTTTTTTTTAAATGGTACGAATTTGAAGTAAATGTTAAATTTAAAGGATAAAAAATAGGTGAAAAATTGTTTATATAAAAAAAGTATGCAACATAAAAAGAAAAAAATCCGTACGCCTTTCTCTAGAGAATGCAATTTTGAAGCTGCAGTTCAAATTTCAAGTAAATCGGTCAAGATTTGTGGAAGTTATGTTTCCGGTCAGTTTACAAAATGTGGTTTTGAAAAAAACGCATTTAAAGTTTTATGTAACAATCAGCGATAAAAATGTTTACCTTTAATCTGCGATGCCTGCATCATACAATAGGCCTACCTCATTGATGTTCTTTTCCTCCTAATCTTTCTTAGCCGATTTTAGAGATGATCGAGTCGCACGCGCGTAAATAATTCCTTTATTATTCTCTGAAGAACTCCTTCACAAAAGCTACAAATCTTACCAAAAAGTAAGACGCTTTATTCTTTCAAAAATTACACTTAGGAATTTTGCTTCGCTAGAACACCTTTTATACTTTATTTCTAAGATCTTAAAGCATCGTTTAAGCAAACAAAAAAAGAAAAAAATAATTTTTTGAAAATTTTCTAGAGTGGCTTTATCCCTTCAAAGGAATGAAAAATTAATTAAGTAATCAATTTTTTTTTTTAATAGAATGATATTTTTCTGTGTGATTTGCACATGCACATATTGCTTATTTATATATCGTTATTGATAATAGATATAAATAGTATTATGTAGCGGAAATGTACAGTAATGCGATTGCGTGCAAACCAGCGATTTTTTTCATAGGTATTTATTACTTCACTCGTCACAGTCCCACCATTTGTTGACATTCTTCTATAAGAAAAGTCAATGTTATTAGCGATATAATCTTGCATTTAAGACCATCTTAAGTAGTATTTATCATGTTATTTCTTGTTTGAATTGCAGTAGAAAGTTACAAGAAACAATTTTTTTCCAATTAAATAACACTGTTACATTGAAAGCGTATAATTGAATAAAAAATATCGATCGAAAATCTAAATTTAATCGATTTATTAATTAATATAGATTAACTTTAATCTCAGTTCTAAAAAGCTATGTAGAAAAAAATAAAGAATTACTTAAACTTTGATTAAATTTAATCTTACATTGCATTAGTAGAATCGGACTTTAGTTAGATCCGTATGTTTGAAGACTGAAAAAGCTGTTAAATAAGGTTACAGCCAGCGTAACGAAGCTTTATAGCTTTTCGTTTACGTTCTTGAATATAAAATCGGACTGAGTATCGTTCTACGTCTATTTGTATTACATCTATGATGTATTCTGAATCAGGTAGCAAAACGAAGTTCCACGAATTCTGAATCAGACAGCATTGTTGCTCTTAGCTGTACGACTATACGATTTTGCGCCGTTAAGTTGTCCGATACTTGGTAGATATATAAATATGTATTAATACGTAAGTTTACTTCCTTGGTAGACTCGAGAAGCGTTTCTTTTGGATTCGCACGTACAGTTAAAGTATTATCCGTTTCACAAATTCCACGTTTAGTGTTTTATGTATGTATGTTATGTGTGTGTGTGTGTGTGTGTGGTGTGTGTGTGGTGTGTGTGTGGTGTGTGTGTGGTGTGTATGTGCTGCGCGAATGTGTATATGTGTAGATGTGGGCGTATGCGACGTTTTTTCTCGAGTTTTTCTGAACGTTAAAACGCTAGCAAACGAATGGCATAGAGATAGAGCATTCGAGACACGTGAGCGAAAGGCGATGTTAATTCTCTAGATTAGAATCATCACGTTAACGTTTAACGCTGTAAATAGACAGACTGTGATAATTTCTAACAATGTCTGCGTGAACACATCTCGTGAACGGGGGTGATCGGAGAAGGGACTCGTTCAGAAAAGAAACCTAAGGAGGGTTGGAGGAGCGTGGGAGGATGGTTGATCGAAGGACACGAGAGAACGAAGGCCTTTGCAGTCAATTTATCGTAAAAGAAATTAACACTTTAATTTATGTTGTAAGCGATGAAGGCGCGGATCGCCTCGATCCGGCTCGAAGCACACTTGTACATAATTTATTTAAATAAAGTGTATTAGCTGGCATTTTACATACCACTCGCCCTTTCATCATTATGCTTCATTGTAAATATAATGAAGTGTGAATGAGTCATCACGGACATTTATATTGTTTAAAGTCCGCATCACATTATTACGCATTAAAAATTGACTGAGGATTAGAATTCAGCTAATCAAAACGAATTGATTAAAATTAAATTTATCTGACCGATTGAATTCTAATCTCTAATTCATAGTCTCTAATGAATATCACGCAGATTTAAGTCAGAGTCGAAGTTCGAGTAATTTTTACGCAAAGAACGATGGATATATTGTGGTTGACCTGAGAACTTTCAGATCTCGTTGCGCAAATAATTTTTTATATCTTACATTTGTCGCAATCGTTTAGTTAAAGTTTAAGTGGTCCACTTTAAAATAAATTTTTTTTATATAATAAGATCAATATTTGATTTAATGACTTAATTTTTTATATTCTGTTTGACCTCAATGGCTCGATAATTACAAAAGATGTAATTTTCGAAACCTATTGAAACATATTTGTTCCACAAAAATAATAAAATCTAAATAATAAAATTTGTCAAGGACAGATTTTATGAGTATTTATCACATTTTATTGGTAGAAATATGTATAACAAAAATTGCTAACAAGATATGGCAAATTAACTCGGTAAAAATCGAATAGAACCTGTCATTTCGTGACTATTTGAATAATGTATTCCGTTTAAATAGTTATGAAATAATCAATTCTGCTTGATTTCTGATATTATTTTGTTATGGAGTTATGTCGTGATATTAACTGCAGGTAAAATCGACTGACAAAATACGAGTTTAATGTAGATATGTTAATCGATCATGATATTCTACTCAAATATTTATAAGAATTTTTCATATTTAAATTTATGAATATTTGCAGAAATACTTTATTTCTTCTTATAAAATAAAAAATTTTCGAAATCTCTAGACTGCTAAAATTTTGCTTATTAACTCTGATGAAAATTTTTTTTTAATTCTTCATACTCAAGAATTTTCACATAAATTTTAGATACTTATAAAGAGTAATTATAAAAATTACAATTTTATAATTTTTTAAAAAATTTCTCAGGTTTTCTAAAGTGAAGTGGGGTACTTCTCAGAAGTCCTGATAAAGTCTATATCCTAGTTGACACTAAATATAAAAGCAACAAAGATAATATCTTAACCATATAAATAAATATAGTATAAATGTCATGTTAGATACTTTAGTTGTCGACTGAGACATTTTCTATAACGTGAAGATATAAAGAATCCTTTATACATGAATTCTGAAATATTTTAAGATTTGTCGTTCTATAATTTCTGAAAAGAAATCTTTTAAAATCTGAAAAATTTTAAGATATTTTTTCGAAAGATCCGAAATATATTGTATACAAATCGGTTCATTCTAACTGTACTCCTTGCACTTCTCGCACTCGAAACACATTTGTGCTTCATTGAGACAAAAAGACAAGGATAAGACGGTAAACAGCGGTAAAGAGGACGGATGGAGCTCAACCCACTTTACACGATCCACAATTCGTGGCAAATGCATTGCGGAATAATTAAGAAAGAGCGATTATAATACCAAAGGAGATAGATTTTTAAAAACAGAAATTCTGATAAAAACAGATTTTTTAATATTTAAAAAAATTTTTTATATTTTTTAATTTATGAAGATAAATTATTTCTAAAGAATAATTATTTCTTCAGATTTTATAAGTTTTTTTATTAATTATAAAATAGAATATCTTAAAATATTTCAAATTTCTATCTCATATATAAAAAGAATTAATAAAAAGATAATTTTATAATTAAAAAAAATTAGGTAAATTTTTGTAATTATAAAATTTAATATAAAAATTTAAAAAAAAAGAGAGCTGTTCCAAAAAAAATTTTCATTAAAAGTAGGAAAGATAAAATAAAGGTTGAAATATATGTGAAAGATCATTAAAACCCATTTAGAAGTTCGCCTTTTTATACCTGTGTTGGATTCTTTTAGACAAGAAGTTCAAAAAGTCTTCCTTTTTTCTCACACAAAGGTTGCGATACAAATTCCAGGAGAAAGATTTAACATGATATTACATGTTGATCATTATATTCTTTACAAAGAAAACCATGTGAAGAATAAATAAGAAGATTCTTAAAAGCATATCAGAGATCTTAAAATAACTTAAGGTGTAACAGTCAAGGCACGTGAGAAATAAATCATTCTCTGCAGCTGAACCTGAACTTTTTTTGTAAATGTAGATGAACTTATTCTTTAGCCACTCCACGTCTAGTTACGAAATGATTCTATTGAATTGAAAAAAATAGCGTTACGAATTACAAATTTCAGTCAGCTGTAACTTTATTAAAAAAGAACAAAATTTAATTTTTAATAAAAATTTATTTAATTTTACTTCCAAAGTGTTCTTTATATAAACTCCATTCTTTTATATATCCATATATACAATTCTTTAAAACTTATATTTTGATTAAATTACTTTATAAAATGTTAAAATCCTTCTTATAAGATTTATAAGCTCTTTACAAAAATTATTTAAAGAAAATTCTATACAGTCAAAAAATCTGAAAAAAAATTCTCAATATTTGGGAATAATAAGTTTCTCAATATTCAAATTCTTTTTATTATAATAAACAATAAAAATCTTATTAAACCGTTTTTATATGTAAATCTTACATATAAAAAAAAAGAAAAACTGGAGAACCCCTTAAGTGCAGAAAGTATAACAAGCTACAAAGAATAACGGACTAAACGTAAAAGGATCCGTGGCGAATCGCGAAGAATGGTGAAGAAGCGATCGTGTGAAACGGGCCGCGCGTATGACAGCGCTCGTGTCAACACCGCGGGGATCGAGCCGACCGAGTTTGCCAGGTTTGCCTTTGTTTCCATCGCGCCGCAGCGGCAGCCGTTTGGGATATCTTCCAATATCTTTATCGTCCTCCGGTGTTTGCGTTCGCAGGGAACGATGTCCTTCGCAATCGTGAGCCGCGCGTTCCATGGAAATGTTTGTTTTGCTCGACTCGTCGGCCGTTGAGACGATTGTCGTCCGTCAACTTAACCTCTACGCCGTGAATCTGCTGGTTCTACTCCGCGAGTCGCAGTCGTGGACGTCATCCGCGTCGAGCTGCTTGACTCGAGAATCCTCCAAATCTTCCTTATTCTGGATTATCAGGAAATTTGTTCAGGTAACAATTTCTATGTAAGGTAAACATCTCAGTAGGTTTGGAAAAGTTATCTCGTAAATTACTTGTAAATTAATTTTTACTATTTTTAGGTTACCTTATATGCGCTTGTATGGAAATTGAGTACAGAGGTAATACAAAATTGGAGCAAATGGGAAAATATTGTATAAAAGTAGAATACCCAAACTTATATTGTGCTCAATTTCTATAAAAAAAAAGTCACTTATAAAGTAATGATGAAATTATGATTAACTTGTAAAGTAACTTTCCCAATCCTGGTAATCAGACATGTCTTACTTATGTCTGGATATTTACGCAAAACTCTATTTATTTATTTTACTTAAATAAGAGAAATTTCTGTATTCGATTAAAACAGATCTTAATGTTTAGATATTTCTTTGTGTATGTGAATTTATATAAATATTTAATTGTGTAAACTGTACACTGAAATCTTTTTTATTAGCAAAACTAGAGCAGTACGTTACAAATAAAATTATTCGCAGATTTTAAATTCTCATTAATGTCTAATTATTAATACTTCTATAAAGATACTTATTAACATAAACAATTATTAAATTGCTTATCAATGATCAACTTGTCTTGATAAAGAATATTTATAATTAGTTGTTAATGTGAATTATAAATCTGCAAATAATTGTATTTTATATTATTAATAATCTCAAGTGTGTGCTTTTTTAAATATGATATTGTAATAAAAAAGCATCTGAGATTATTAACAATAAATTTTAATAGATTTTATCTATTTATAATTATGCCTTATATTTCTTAAGTTCATATTTAGAGTATTTGAAATTAAAATTAAGGAAGTCTTAAATATAACACAGATGTAAGTTTCCAGATACAGGTACTTGTCCAATCACTGGAACATTTACCTCTATGAAATTTCTACAGGAATACGTGTGGATACGTAAGAGATGGCCGGCAATAACGAGCTCTGGGTGCAGTGTTTCACGTGCTGCCTGACGCCACGGCCAACGAGGAACAACAGGCGGAACGGTGGCAGGCCGCATCAGAGACTCAGGATAGACCGGAGCATGATCGGTGTGCCCACGAATTTCAGACACACAGCGCACATCAGCAGTGGCGATATCGACATGTCGATCGCCCAGCTGGCCGACCTCCAGGCGCAAATGCAGAGGAAGAGTGGTTTCGATGCTGATTTCAACGCCAAGGTATGACTCAGCCTTCCGTCGGTCTCTCCTCCTTTCCCGAATCAATATAAAAGTTCAAAAAAATATATCGAGAACGGAGGCCTTGATTGTAAACAATATGAGTCAAATAAAGAACATATATACTGCCGTTGGCACTTTTGCGAAAGTTATTATTTATTAGTCTACACAATAATATAATATTCTCCAAACATTTTCAACCATTTTTTGATCTTCAGTATAATAATCTTGTAAAATTAGTCTTTTCGTATATACGTTAATAATAAAATCTTGACTTATCGCCAAATTTATTAATATTGTCAGACGTGCTCACATATCTCAAATTCTGAATATTAGAATCTCTTCTCCTTGTTATTTATTCTATTGTAAAAGCAATCTAGGATACATTTTTCTCACAAGAGATTCCCATAATCCTGATGTTTGTGATTTTTATATACAGAAATACCCGTTTCTGTGCAATAAACATGATTTTATAATACACTTTCAAATCTGAGTTTGATGGTTAGTGTAACTAATGGAAGGACTCAATTCAAAGACAAATACGTTTTATACAAAGTCTAAAACGCGATACAGACGTCTTAAAAACATTCGAAAGAAGTAATCTAGATTTGGTAGAATAAATAAGATAAATCATTTGTTTGAACTTTGTTGTTTTTATTTTAGACAATGCTTATGCAAAATATACTTTTCCTCTTTTATTTCTCTGTCGAAACGAATCAATTGAATTGTTTCTCTCTTTCTGTCGCAGGCATGCTGAGAATAGCTTCGTCAATGTCACAGGATATTTAACACGATAGCAACAGAACGAGAGAAGTTTACGATGCAGCAGAAGGACGACTGATATTTTCTTTTTGATATCCATGTTCCTTACTCGTCTAATGGACGAGCGCATTTCTTTTATATGAACAAGATGCATTTTGCAAAATGCTCCGTTAGAGAATCAAGACAAATTTATGTACACTGGACAAGTCTCTGACTTCCATTTTGAACGGAAAAACTGCCAGAAGTAATCATGTTACAGCGTACAAATAATTACTTACGACTTTATACCTCTATATTTTTGACTGGAGACGCATTGCGTCTAAAAGCTTGAAATATTTTATAAACGTATTCTATAAATCATGTGCCTTTTTGTCAGTGATCTGACGTTCCGAGTGGAAAAAAAATATGTACACAAGAACGAGGAATAGATCGTTTTATTTGTAAAATTACTCGTAAGATTTAGAAAACATAACGTAGACGTGTAATTAGAATATAAGTAATCGTATCACATAATATCACATAATATAATTCTGTACACGTAATACTTATCCTATTGTCGAATATTGTTCGCGTATATTAATAATACAAAAGAGCCTTGGTGATATTTATATGAAAACATAGTTCCTTCATGAAGACACCTTTGTTCCCCCGTTAATCGACATGGTATCGTCGGTTGTTCTCAGCTCGCGAATTCCTTCGTGCATCAACTCCCTCCACCTTCTTCGTATTCTGGACACGGCAGTGTGGTCCTCCGATTCATAGACGTAATACAAATAGACCGAGTATGAGGTATGATGTCTGAACGTAGAAAGAGAACGAAGACTAGGAGTAGTTGTTATTTTTCTCTTACGAGGAAAAAGGTGTAACCAAAAACCGCTGGCGACGACTTCGACCAAACTTAATAATTAATTTAATCGATAGCATTGTTTATAGCAAAATTTCTCATTCTATTCAACTGTATTTGTTGCTCTTATTCTCTAATCCTTTGTTTTTCATGTGAAACAAAAAATTAATAACACAAATAAGAGAAGAAGTGAAGGTCACATTCGGTCAAAGCGAATCTTGGTACCTCATATTTTTACGTGAATTTTACAATTTCCAGTTCGTGAGAACAATGTGCCGATTACACTAGTTTACAAAGTTTCGTGCGAGAAGATATGAAGATATATATTTTATTTCTATGATAATTTTCTATGAGTCCGAAATATTTTCGGAATTTTGAGATATAATAAAAAACTTACATAATTATCAGAAAAAAATTGTTAATATTTAAATATTAGATAAGTCTTATAGGACCGTACATAAGAGAAATACAATTAGAAAAAAAAAATTTTAATATAAAAGTGAAGTTTTAACAAAAACAAGTTTTATCAGAAATTTTTAGAACAAATTAAAAATGTTCAATATTTAATTAATTGTTTTTTATGACTCCCATATTAAAGATTAGCAGCAGTTTAGCAATAATGTTTTTTAATCAAGTTCTGGTGGAAATTTTTGCCTTGCTCAAATTATTCGGAAAAAAATACTAGCCGCGTATTTTAAAATTGACAAAAAGTTCGACCTGATGGAATTTTTCTGGTGGTAGATTCGAACTCAGCGTCCTAAAATACATTTTAAAAAGTTAGGCCGTTTTTTGCAGTATTAAAAATTTGTAAACTAGTGTTATTTGTCTGTCTCGAAACACCGTTCTAAATTAAAACTGGATTACGTAATATCACAAAATAAATTGACAAGCAATTTAACAATACTAATGCTAATGAACATCTTAAATCACTATAGAGAATTTATTACAAAAGTATTGCTCCAATTTTAGTGTTAACAGTTAACGATAGCTAGTTGCTTGATGTAATAACATTACTTGATAAACCAATCTGAGTAATCATCTTGAGCTATTTGTGAACGTGCGTTGATACGTGGACGTATCGAACATCTGCGTAGATACGAATAAGACTGAAAAGTCTTTATATTTTCTCCTCGCTCGTTCTAGCTTTCATATTGAAGCTAGAACGTATCATTGATGTGAAAAAGGTACTTGATCTACATTATTGTGTTTGATTGACTGACAGGTTTAGTCTTAGTCCTAGCCTGGCTGTAGGGTCGCCAGTGAACTTCACGTGACAACAGCAGCTCGACGGAAAGCGGAATTGATCCTTGAAGATGTTACCGTCGCTACCCACTGCTGCTAATTCTCGATAAATGTATTTCTGTTTGCAGGAAGTCTTGTAGCCTTCGGCAAAGCCTTCGACCATGTTGCACTTCTGGCCTTCGTTTCTGCAATCAAAAATTCGTTATAGATGTGTACTATACGATTTAGATGATTCCATCCTCATATTATATAATATATACTTTCTTTAAAAAGAAATTCATTGTTTTAGTGATCAAGAAGTGTATAATATAATAGAACAATTTTTATTTATTAAAATAGAATATATACTTTATTGTACTAAAAAAAACGATTAGCTAAATAAGCCATAGCATTTAAAAATGTTTGCAACTGTTGTAAAATTTAATATGATTAGTTTATACATTTAGACTCAAAAACGAGAATCAATGGTATTGAAGCATGTTACAACAGTTGCAAAGCTACTTTCTCTGTTGAACGCAGCCAATGTCTAGGAAGAAGTTGAATGATTCCTCATTAAAAAAAATTTTGAATATATAGCTGCTTTTAATTAGAACTATTCAAATAAAATCGCTCTTACAAGCAAACCTCGATGCGTATTCCTTGCTTTAAGTCATCCTGGTTCACGATAAACAACCATTGATTTTCCTTATTCTGTGCGGTTTGCGGATATACCACTTGTTCCTACGAATTTAACACACGATTAATGATATTTTAAGTATTATTTATTCTAATTCTAACATTTATTACACAACGTTAGAGGTAATCTAAAGAAATTAAAGACCTATTTAAAGGAATAGTAGTAGAAGAAAAAAGCCAAATCAACTTACGCGAATTGGGCAAAGCACTGATTCGCGAGCTACCGTGTCTATCCTTTGTTCTACGTCACCAACATCGGACATCTGGAAAAGCACATATATATGTACCGATAAGAGAGAGATAAATAAAATATGAAATACGTGTAAGTACAGTAATACATTAAAACCAGCATAATTTTATTGTCAATCTCGATGAACGTAAAAATAATCTGTATATAGAAATAATAGTTTTACTGAAGTATTTAACAATTTAGATACGAATCTGAAAATAATTTTGTTTCTATTTTTGCTGAAGAAACACTTAAACTGATTGCTTTTAAAACATTAAAACTTATTGCATTATTGTCATTAATGTTAAAAAATTTAAGGTAAACATATTATATAGTGGATATAATCCAAGTATTGAACGAAATAACAAAAATTTTAAATATATTAAACTTTATTTTTTAAATAATGTACTATTCTAAATAAATTTGTTGTTATATTTTTATAAACAACGAATTAGAGTTGTAAATATAATTAAAAGCTTAATATTAAAAATTTTTTTGATCCAATAATTGTCTAATAAATATTTACTAACTGTTCAATAACTAGTAAATTTATTTTAAGATTTATATAATTATTTTGATGATATCCAATAAAATTATTTTCAGATCTGTATCTAATTAAATTTTTTAAAAATTCCATTTTTTCTATATATAATTTTTAACGATAATAATTTTAATTTACTTTTCAGATCCCTTATTATTACCATACTGCATAAAACGATAAAAATCATGACATTGAAAAATATTCTAACGTCATTTTCGCGTGTCTCGTGCATCAGAAGTTTACGTAACTCATCGAGATTATGTTAGTTTCGCGATCCTTTGTTTTATAAAAATATACACATATACGCACAAGTGAATATTTATTATATAGCAGAAATAAACTTTATTTTGGTGTAACGATATGGTGAGCTAATAAAACGATCCTTCATGCGTTTTTATATACGATAGAATTATTTCTAACCGAATCGACAGTATCGACACTCTCCAGGAATCTCAAACTGGTATTCTGCTGTATCGCCGCGTTCACCAGTTGCCTGGGATAGTCGGCGACGTTCTCACAGAACGTACTTTTGCGACAGGTCAACGTCGGCAGCATCGAAGTTTCCGAGATTCTACCGTCTGGGAAAATAATTTTCTCGTCAGAATTCCTGTGCATTGACATGCCTGCGTCCCTGTGCGGCATATCTCGACTCCTATACATTGACGTGCTCGAACCTACAATGGAGAAATAAGGTACCTCAGCAATATTTATTATGAATATTTTTTTTTATTTTTCCAAAATTTTTTCAAAATGTATATATAAATTAGGATTTTGCACGTTTTTTCATATAATTTCATAAATTAAAAAAAAATTTTTTAGATATATACATATTTTTCTGTATAAATTGTAACACTTTTCTGAAACTCTGAAAAAGCTAATATTTCTTAAAAATATTTTACTTATGTAAATTCTAAAATATTAAAAAAAATTAGAAAAAAATTCTGTATAATTTATTTCTACAAATTTTGTGTACAAATTGAAACATTTTTTAGAAATGCCGAGAAAGTCTATATTTTTTTCAAAATTCCTTATGTAACTTCTGTGAGATATTCAAAATCTATTTCTCATTCTCTATAATTTCCAAAGAAAACTTGTAATATTTAACTAATTGTTTGTGTAAGTCTAAAATATTTTTTAAATCTTTATTTAAAATATGGACAATTCTTTAAAAATAATATATGAGATATTATAAGAATTTTCTTCACCAGAGAATCTCTTTTTAACACATGATATTATCAGAGAGATACACGCGCTGTCGTTATTTCGTAAGTTCCTGTTTTACGGATAAAACCGCAACTTTAAATGGATCTTTGATTGCGCATTTAAACCACATGGCCTTGATCAAATTATGAATGGTTAATTATTGATTCGTTCCCAATAATCACCAAAAGAAATGTTCATTTGACGTCAATACTTATACAAAATAAGCTTGCCTTGTGATCTTTTTGATCTACTTTGAATCACTCCATTACTCGAAGACTCTGTCGAAGTGTCCCTCTGCATCTGTTCGATTCTTTGTGAACAACAATTGTCGTCTCCGTCGACGGTCTTCTGTGACCATTGTTGCGGTCGTAGAAACACCTAAAATTATTTAAAGGTTTCAAGGTGCTTATTAGCATCAGAATGAATATCTTTCTATCATCAATATTGTTAAATTACTTGTCAATTTAATTCGTTATATTACTATACTTTTATAGTCCTGTTATGATTGTGTGTGAATACTAAAAGTTATACACTGAAAGAAAAGATTAACTGAATATGGCACAGAATTTTTAATTAGCTGCAGCAGCCAATTAAAAATGCTATGTCATATTTTACCATTTATTTTACTGCAACAGTCAATCTTTCAGTATTACGAATTTTGCAAGGAGCCAAATTGGCTGCCTCGGTTCTTCTAGTGTTGAGATCTTCACTTCCTAATTACTGTGTATTCACATTTACGATCTACTTTGTTTAATATTGTAGAAACACCTGCTGCTCGTACGCCTCTTCGATCAATCTTGAAATCGACAACGTGTCCTGCGACGAGGAACTTCCGGCGCCCGATGAATCCTCCGGCATCTCTGAGGAAGTGCGAGGATATCCTTCGATCAGTCGCACCGTCTGGCACACCTGCCGAACGAAAAAGGTATGAAAACAATCGGATCTCGACCCGGGGACTTTTCCTTCTCTAAAAATAAGCCGTTTTCCGCGAAGTAACGAAGTAACGCGCGCGCGCTTGGAATTATGTAAAGAACCGTCCTGTTCTTGGATCATGAGGTCGGAATCACTGCGCGCGGCGGGAGAATAGAACGCGATAAGAGAAAGATAAATTATTTCTATACCGAGGTTGAGAGGCGGCATAAGATCCTGTTACAAGCAAGTGCATGCAGCCGCGAATGAGATTATATAATGCGGTGTGATTACTCCGCGCAGGCAGCCGGTATATAAAAGCATTTTGAGAATGAAGGATCATTTATGCTGGTTGTAATCTAAACAATACGAAGTATTGTCCAACATCGAGATGGTTTTAAAGACGTCTTATGTCTCAATTTTAAACTTTGTGTTGTCTGGGGAACTATTATCTTATGCCGTAGGTTAAGTATTTGGTCAATTCCTTATAGCTTGCGGCTTAAGTTAACAGTTTACGACCAACATAAATGATCCTTAGGAGAGAATAAAGAAAAAAGCAGGTTTCGATGTTCAGTAATATTTATGTGTGACTTTGCGCTGATACGGTTTATCGTATCCACTAATAATAATAAGACTTGTTTGTTATATATATATTATAGCTCGTTTCCGGAATGTCGAGAATTTTAATTTTGATGAAACATTAAAAAATAATTTATTACTGAATTTTTTGAAATATTTGTTAGTTATATATTTAAGTGCAACTTTTTTTATTTTAAATAAATGTTTACTTACTGTAAGTAAATATATTTTATTAGTATATTTTCAATCAAATGTTTGATGTAATTCAGTAACTTCTTTTCAGTGTAAAAATGTGTTGATAATAATTTATGTATTATTAAAATATTGCGTTTAATTTCTGTATAAATTATATTTTATTACACGATTGAGTCAGTTTAATTTTTTCTCCTGCTTTTGTGGGGAAAATCTTGTGAAAAATTCAAAATACATACGCAAGATTTGTGTCGCATCTAATTGCGGAGAACTGTCGCAATTTTACGATATATATATCTTTAGATACCCCCACGGTAAATATTGCATCTTAATTTCTTCCGTCAACGAAGCGGATCGCCAGGTAATTCCGCGACTTTTCCAGGTAATCCTATCTGTCATCGTTTTATTATTACACTCTCGTGCATTCGATACATATATGTGTCACAACACCTTATGTCAACTTCCAAACGTGTTATTTAAATCTGTTCATTGTTGGAAAACCTTGTCAAACTAGTATAAGAGGAAAAACTTAAAGCAATATACATTCTAGGAAGAAAGAAACACGTAAAAGAGATAAATAAAAATGGAATGTGGATGACCGATATTCGTGAAAAGGGAATGAGGGAAGAATTCAGGAACGAACATTCCCGTGATAGGAATACAATGTTGGATGTCAATTTAATACTAGAAGGTAGTAAGTAATTTTGGTTTATTTTGAGTATTCAAAGCACTGTTGTTTTCAATACAAATAATTACTAATTAATCACTACCTTTTAGCAAAAACATTGTTTTTCAGTGCTTTAACACTCCAGATAAAAAATGAATCACTATCTTCCAGTAAAAGTATTATTTTCAATGCTTATAATAAACTTAAAATATACATAATTAATGATTTATATTGCAATACTTTCCAATAAGCACTTAATAATTTATGCTTTAATGCTTTAATAATACTAAAAATGAGTAATGAATCACTATCTGTCAATAAGAGCACAGTTATTCAGTGCTTTTATTCGTAGTTATAATAGTAATTAATTACTGTTTGTTAAACTATTTTTATTACTAACTTTTTTAATTATTAACTCTTAATTAAAGCACTGTTATTCAGTGCTTTTGATATTTAAATTAAATAATTAATCACTTGTACTTTACGGTATTAAAATCATTGGTGTTCAAGTGCTTTTAAATAGTGCTTAAAATAGGTAATTAATTATTGCCAGTGATTATGAAATTTCTATAGAGATTGTAAAAAAATAAAACAAGGAGTTTTCAAAAGGTATAAGTTTTCACTATAAATCACATAAGTTTTCAATATAACTTTGCCTACACTTCGAAACATAATTGTTTTCATTGTCTTTAATAACTTTCGTTGCCCGAAGGCGTTTTGCAAGAACCAAAAAAACTCGAGCGTTCCGCCATGGTATTGAGATGAAGATAATAATAAGGACATCGCGCGTGGATATTAATCTCCGCAGTAAAATCCTCCACTCGATATTTTTATACACGCATATTCGCAATGCCGCGGACACGTTTCTGCGCCTTTCAGCCGACATGACCTCCATGCGCGCATAAATCCCATAAATCGTCAACAAAAGTGTCCAGTGTTTAAAAATTCGGAGAAAAGATAAATATGAATAAACGAATCTAACAAATCTACGCGACACGGTTGTGAAAATATTCAGCGATTGATTAAACTGGGAAGATACACATTAATTCCAAACATTAATTCTGACAGCAAATATGGCGAAGAATAAAAATTCCATATGATACATTAATTGTAAGAAAATTTTCCGATCGAAAGTGAAGGAATCAAAAGATTTTCATTATATGTATCAGAATTCTGCACTAAAGAGGAATTTAATAAATTATTTATTTGAACAGTGCATGTCAATTAAATATTTATTAAATACGAAGTTATATTTATTTGGTATAAAAACATCAATTTTATTTAATAGTCATTTCTTTTTATCAAGTAAATGTTTATTTACTGTAAGTGAACGTTTAATTGGCACCGTTCAAATAAATATTAATTTTCAGGATATTCTTTCTCAATCTGGTTATCACAACCAGAATCACAATAGATTCAATCAGAAAATTCTGTGAATTTTCAATTAAAATCCTACAATTAGTGCAACCAGACAGTCCATTAATGCATTAATTGCATTACTCCACTATTGCATTAAATTCTAATTAATGCTATGAGTGCGATCTCTCACCAGAATGAGTGCCAAGTAAACGGTCCACTTCAGACGAGGAGTTCTCGATGTCATCTCAACAAGTAAAAAAACGCGAAACGTCGTGCAGCAAAAACGAAGACTTCCCGCGAGAGTCACGCGAAACTCGATGATGATCGACGCGCGGTCGCTCGTACTCTACTGATCGGAGTGATCGGTCAGCACAATTCTGATCCGAGGAACCACCTCCGCGCGGTTCGAGACAGAATCGACAGGCGGGAGAGAGAGAGAGAGAGAGACGGCGAAGAGGTTGTGACTCGCTTCCGGTGCGACGGCTTGGGTTAGGAGAAGAGCGGGGGTGGAATTGACCGCGACTGACCGGCGACCGCAACGCGCGGAAAAGCCAGACGCACACAAGACTATATAAGAGCTCGAACATTTTTATTTGTTCTCCCACCATCGGTCTCGTATTCTGGAGGGGACCATGAGTCTGATGATAGTGGGAAGATCGAAGCGATCTAAATATGGTGCAAAATTTTTATATTGCATATAAAAATGCATATAAATATGGTGCTATATATTTTTATATAGAAACAAATATTTTTTTCTTTTCTTTGTCTTCTTTTTGTTCTATTACTTTTTTAAAAATGGTATTTTCAATCGTAGTGAATTCGATTTTTATTTTGTGTCTAAACAGAGCCATTTATTTCTTTTTTTTTTTATTAAGGGAATACTATAAGGACCAATTAAGAAATGTTTATTTGAGATCGAAATGCAAGAAGATAGAATTTATAATTATTTCGCGATATAATTAGAAAAGATAATGATTCTTATTCGATATAAATTCTTCTTCCGTTTGCGTGTGACTCTCGATTATACTTTGAACAGTATTACATGAGTCACAAAAAAGTAATGTCAATAAGTACTCTTATACTAATAATGCATATCATGCGATTCCTATTTTCATAATTAATGACGTTTGTGTAATTAATAATCTAATTAATTTTTCGTGTATCTTTTATGATAAGATCCGTATAAAAAATTGATCATAACTTTGGAATTATTGTCAGTAATAAAAGAAATATTTTTTAAATTAATTTCTGGTTTATTATTCGAGATTGACTTTCTAATCGTATATCTTAATATATCATTAGATATCATAATAAGAGATTGAATCCTTCTATCTTGAAATTTATTTTGCAATGACAAATTAATGTTCCCAACAGAATAAAACTTGCAACAATATCGCTGCATTATTACATTAACAATATTCATGGACAGCACAAATATTTACGATAATCATTATTATTTATTTTTTTGAAATAGATATTTTATATATATATATATGTTTTATTCAAAACATTTTGAAATATAGACTAAATATTTCATGTAATATTTTTGATAATAAATATTTCTGTATATAAGTATTTTTTACTTGGATTATAATATCTCTCATTAAATATTTTTTCATAACATATTACTACAACGTTTACAATAAATATTTCATAATATTTATAATAAATGTTTATGATTTGTGCAATCTAATTGTAAGACTACAAAAATATTTCCAATAAATGTTATAAATTTACAAATATTTTTTCAAATTTTATAAATATTGTGTATTATCTGGATTACTGTCAGTTCTGTGTTGCATACAAATATTTTGTAAATATTATGTACTATCTGTGACGTACTTCTTCGCCGATTTAATTGAAAGTGAACGCACCGCAGCCGGTTCGTTGCGTTTGAATGCTGCGCAGACTATACGCGGAACTCGTGTCTGTGGTCTCTTGGTCGCGCGCGTGACATTTCTTTGCTCGCGGCAGCATGTGCGATATAAAAGAAGTATTACCGATATTATGCGATTACATTAATTCGTTAATAAACACAGGTTTAACGCCCGAGCATCTTAGGCTGGCCAAATATAACGCCCCGGACGAAATCGTCGTAAGTACAAATATCGGAGATTCGAATGCGCTCCCGCTAACCTAACCTAACCTAATTTATCTGACGAGACTGATAATCTTATCGCGGTTGAAAACATATTTATAAAATTACAGGAAAATCAGAGAAGAGAGAGCGTTGCTCCAGACATTTACTGTAATTATGGAAATATCCATAAACGTATGATATATTTATGTCTACAGGAAAATCTTATAGAAAATAATCTGATAAGTCTGTTAAGCGCAATCATATGTTCTGTGTGTAGGCTGACAAACTGTGGATCACACTGCGCATTCTGAGCTACAACGCCACGCGAGAGAAACGTGGCGACATAGATTTCCGAAATTACGGTTCGTTTTAGTGTTTTGCATTCTTAATTGCATTGTAGATCGTATTTTAGATCCGCGTTCATTTGTTTTAACAAGAACGTGCACGTTATTCTAATTATGAAAAATCTTCGTACACGTACATATAATTGCTATAATTAAACAAAATTGCTCTTATTGTCAGCATGTAAGAAAAAAAAGGCATACAATCCCTTTGTTTAAAGTAGTAATTAATTATGCAAATGTAGCACTTTTTTTTAAAAAAAAAAATGTTAACTGCATACATTTGTACAAAAATATTGAATATTTTCTTAATAAAGTAAAATTGTTTTTTAAATTACGTATAATTTTTTTATATGGTAATATAATATTATAATAGTACACTTTTTTAAGATCTGTAAAATAGTTATTAAATTTATTAAACTTTTTGGTTTCAATGTTATAAATGTTGAAATAATAATTCGATATGTAATTTATTTTAAATACATTTCCTTTAATGTCATATAATATTTAATTTAAATTGCATATAGAATTATTATTCCAACATCTCTAACTTTGACCTTCTTTTTACTTAATTTATTAACATAATAAACAGTTGTATTATAATAATAATTATGTTATGTACTATTTATTATTATTATTATAATAATTAATTGTGTATTCATATGAGAATCTTAATTCCTTGTTTAATGAAATATATTATAGTTACATTAATATTTTTTTGTACGATATGTTTAGCACGAGTGAATGCGTGCGAATACTTGATCGACGTCTCTTCTTAAAAAGATTTTACATTGCCAATCGTATTTTCAGACGCGCCTTCGACGGTGAAGCTGCATCTCGCATTCTTACAATACCCAGCGATCGAGTTTTACAGCTTATCGCAAGACGGCGAACATAATAGAGACGCGTTGATAGCCTTAGCTTGGCTGTTAGGAGTGCAGGATGTCCTCACTGTCATCCTTCGAGCGAAACTGGCCGATAGCGTCCTAGGTGCCGAATGCTCACATGTGGATTCATCGGAAGTCAGTATTAAATTTTTTACTATAATACAGTGAAAATGAGTAAAATTCATTTTCACTGTAATGAGTGAAATTTTATTTCACTATTTTTTTAACTGAATAGATAAGAAGAATATCAAGTTAAAGTAAAATAAAATGTTGAATTTTTTAGTCTTTCTACTGAAGAGAGTTAGATCACATAACTCTTGTTTATACTTTTCTGTGCACTTTTGTTAATTATTTACATTAATGATTACCTCGCTGATCAGTTTGGTATATGTATATCATTTCTTTCATTTATATATCAAAAAAGAGTGGCGTCGAGTGGCTCATCGCTCTGTGCGATTGACTTGCGATCTGTAAACCCGAGTTCAATCCCACGTGCGCCCAAACGCGATTTTTCGCGTTTAATGAGCCAAAAAATGGCTCCACCTGGTAATCAAAAGATTTATGATCATCAACGCCGTTCGGATTCGGCGTTAAACTGTAGGTCCTATACATCAGTATACATCAGTAGATATTTGTCTCTAATATCTGACTGAGGTAGGATTCTGTGGACCAATCACCCACAAATCCAAAAAACCATCTGATTCGAGAAACGAATATAGGCCTCGGACAAAAGAGGAAGAGGTCTATAGACGTCGTTTCGTTATATATCAAAAGAAAAATACTCGCTACATTCGTCTTTCATAAACGTTCGTTCGTTCGCAATTGTTAGTTTATGATCGTTCATGATTATTTACCAAGGAAACACAGAAAAGATAAAAAATCAAAATGACTTAATTTTTTTTTTAAACTTCAACAAATAGTCAAATGTAATAAAAAAAACATTTTGACTTTCATGACGTCAAACTAAAATAATTTTTCCTTTAATTTAGTGTTTTTTTTTTCACTCATTCGAATATTCTTATGAATACTACAATATTTCGAATAAATCATTCATTTAACCACCAACGTACCTCCTTCACGTTCTATTTTTATTTCTGATCGTTCTATCCAGCCTGCATCATCAATTGCTGTACCGAGCAATCAGCCGTTATCAACAAACGCTCAGCTTAGCAATATCCTACACTTGAATGCTACGGTAAATCTAAACTTGCGGGAGATCAACGAGTTGATCCGTGAACGGGCTAAACTGATATCTAAGGTGCACGCGGCGAGCCTTGACGTGAGTGGTCTGCCGCATTTGAGCGTGTCCGAATTAGCGTTGACGAAACGTCTCTCTAGAAGTCGCATCCTCGACGATGGAGCAGGCGGAAACTTCGAAAAAGATCGGCGACGACTGCGAGAGTTTCGCGAGGCCGGGATTCTGCTCGACGTGCGCGCCAAGTGGCTGCGGAAGCGACACGTGTTTTTCGACTGGATGGTAAATCTTACTTTAATAACAAGATATATAAGGCTCCAATGAAATAAATCAATAGTGGAATAAAAAGTCTTTAAGAGCCGACGCCAGATATTGATGCGTAATTAATTTGTTATTATGTATTAAACGAACATAACATTGTAAAACATAAATATATTTGGCGTCAGCTCTTAAAGGCTTTTTATTTCACTATTGAATTCTTATTTTCTAAGGGCCGCTTATCCTCTATTCTAAGGTCCATCTTTGGATAAATAATGTAATAATGTATATTTATATGAATAAAATAATTTACTTACTAGATAAAAAAAAGAGTAAAAAAGTAAGAATATAAGAGAATAAGAAACTAAAGCGGCGTCTGCAATGAGATTTTAAAGCGTAAAACTTAAGTTTTAAGCCTTATATGATTGTTTTTCATACATTCGACTGTGAATCTTGTAGACGTCTTGTAGACGTCGCTTAAGACAGCTGAAGTTACCGAAAAATGGAGCAACTTTAAGTCTTTTAGTGTAACATGCATAAAGTTATTCTTATTTTAGGACTGTTTAACTAATGTTTTAAGGTAATAATGTGAATTGCTGTGAAATATCCCGTAGTTCGTTATTTTAAGACCGTCTTAAGTAAGTCTTTAATAATACAGTTTTCTGATTAATTTATGACTTAAAACTGCACTGACGACAGACTTAAATGTAAGAATCGACTATACATATCTGTCTAAAAAACTTTAAAGTAAATCTTACTCTAAAAAGTAAAATCTTACTTTTGAAGATTGAACCAAATTCTTTTCCAAGATTGATTCAATTTTTATTCTTCAGAGATTTCACTTCAAAAAGTTTAGAGAATACAGAAAGCGATAGATGTAATGTAATTAAGAGTCGTACTGGTCGCACATCGAGTCTTCAACGGCGCTCTTTCAGTCTCTTTATTATGGCGTGGAAAATAAGTTCATAAATATTATGATGAAGATAAAGAATTGTGTAAAAAGTTTTCTAAAAAATTGAGAATCTGTTTCATTTGGATAAGATTTCATTTCTTTATCTGACGAAACAGTTTTATCGAGAACTATTCATATTTCATATTATATATTTTACTTTTCATTTGATTGTCTCTAATAAATAAGCATTTCTCAGATTTATGATTACAGACATTTGAGAAGCTTCCATTAGAACATCAAACAACAAAGAACCTGGCAGAATTTCAGCAGAGAGAAAGAAAGAGAGAAGATGAAGACTCAAGTTAAATTGAGAAACAGTAAACAATTTCGCATTCATTGCAATGCAAATCGTTTTATCCTACCTTTAATAAAATAAACAGTAAAAAATTACATTACTTCTCCTTCAATTGGCAAAGAAAAAAATAATATAAGAATATTTATCGCTTTCGAGTTGTTTTATAGAAAAAAATCGACTGATGTTAAAAGTATTAATTGTTTCTCACACAAAATGACTCATAAAGATCTTTCCTAGTTTTTTACGTAATAAAAACAAAAAATCGCCTACAACACTCAAATTAACTTGAATATCTGAGAAAATTAAAATCAGATAATAAATTACAAAAAAATTCTGGCAATGCTATATCAATTGTAATAATGACCGCAATAATATATATTGCAGGCTACGGTGATTCAGGAGCACAAGAGATCTACGGAATCAAATCCGAGAGTAATCAATACGCGGGAACTCACCGCATTTAACTCGCTGTTACGTCACGTAATTAGAGACAAACTTCGAGATTCCAAATCCGAGAAGACGGTAGATGGCGATGATTCCAAGAACTGGTCTTTAAATTGCCCGTCTCGTGCGAACAGAAGTCATTGTAATAATGCGGAGGCAGGGAATTGGTTAAACTATTTGAACGAGCGCCAGGTCCGCGAGGAGGAAAATTTTCAACGAAATAGAAAGAGGTTGGTTGATGAATTGGAGGAAATGTTGAAATTGATACCATCTGTCGTTCGTGTTTGACCGATATGTCATTTTGTATCATTTCATAGACGTTTACATCGTGTAAAAAGGAATTATTTATTATCTATTGTACAGTAATATTTCATTATACGTATTATCACTTTGAAATAAAAAAGTCGCTCATTAAAATTACTATCATTATAAATTATTTGTGTGTCGACGAGTTTTGCATGAATTGGTGAAAAATGAACGAATGCGTTAAAAAGTGCATTTAATGATTGAATGTCCAGTGTGTAGAATGAACTACTTACTATCAGAATCTAAAATATCTCCGTTGTTTTTCGCTAATGATAAAGAAATATTCATGTGTAAGAAAAGATTCACATAGCTTTTTTTTATATTTCTAATGTAAATCAATATGTCTGCAATAAAAAGACCTTCTAAAAGTCTTTTGATACGGATAATTAGTATCTACATATGTATTAAAGTAATAATAATAATAATAATATTACAAAAACATTATGAAGTTTCTATGTGTAATCAAATTTATACTTTTCGATATCACTTAAAAACAATGGAAATATCTTATCTTAGTTATTCACTTTAATTGCTTATTATCAAGTGAAAGAGAGAGCACATCAAGAGTGAAGAGAAGAACAAAGGATTTTATGCCGTGACGGTAACCGTTTGATCTACAACACCGAACGACGAGATGAAAACATTGAGTATCGTCACGAGAAAGATCCCAATGACTGTCCAATTATTGGCCTTGTTTGCCTTGCACATTTGTTCATGTTCCTTGACGTTGTAGACGCTATTCCATATTAGACCAATGCCTACAGCAATTTGTAGAAACAGGCTCATACTGATCATGATGAGTGACGGAAAGAAGTACGGGTGGCGGCCGTCTGTCTGGAGAACGTAGCGCATCTGATTCGCGTTCGCGGACAGCAGCGCCAAGTCCATCATACCCTGGGCCAAGGTCTTCTTGTGCTGGTAGACGTTGACGTCCGGAGTGACGATCTGTACGGCAGGAGGAAAGACGCTGCTGGACCAGTCGGATTGCAGTCCCCCGGGCAATCCCGGTCCGTTCTTGTCGAAGCCGATCGGCGGCGCAGATGGCTTTTTATCCAGCATGTCGGGTTCCGTTACGACGATCGAATCCGGTTCCCGCGAATTGTCTGCGAGATTTTCGTCATTCTCTGACACAAAGCCAGCGCGCAGCCCGATGAACGGCGCTTCTGTTTCCGTATCGATGGACGTCAGGGGCCTTGATACTTCATCGTGGATCTCATCCAGATATAGTATCTCATCGTCATCAGGCTTTTTTGGTGATGGTTCATTCATGATGGAAAATCGTAGGAAACCGAAGAAATCACCTGCGAAACAATACAATTTTTAAAAACACTTTATTTTTACTACAATTTTTTACTGATTATTGCTCGAAAGAACACAATTTTACTGTCAGAGAAAAATATAGCAATTATAAAAGTGACAACCCATACAAATTTATTCAGGACATCTCGAAATTCGCAAATCAAAATATTACATCGTGAAAGTTCTCGGAAAAATAGAAGTTGCAGAAGTATTCGAAATTTGTTGTTCCGAGCGGTAGTTTTTGAGATATGAAAGTTGGAACTAGCCCATTTAGATTATATGCGGTTATATTTAGATAAAATATTTGTTTCTGAGTAGGACTCCTAACCGCGATAATGAAACCGGATAAACATTCGGTATCAGCGAAAAAAGCATAATGGTGGCAAAACATAAAGGTGATAATTACAAGTGTTAGAATTAATGCACATAGTTGAGTAGAGTATTTTATAATTACTGCAAATATAAATAGTTTATTCACCTACGTACATTAATTCTACATAGAAAACTTCTATTATAAAATTCTACATATAAAACTTGCACGTATAAACGTACATAGTTCAATGAACTATTTCATAATTATTATTGTAAAATTATGAAATAGTCTATTTAACTATATCTATACATTAATTTTACATAAAACTTATGAGGTATAATATATATTAATTTGGCGTAAATTCTACATATAAACTTTATAGAAATAATGTACATAGTTGAATAAATTATTTTATAATTATTGTAATAGAATAGTTTATTCAACTTTGTATATCAATTCTACATATAAAACTTGTATACTTTTGTACAATTGTCATTATCATGCTTTTTTCTCGTACATCCAAGGAGTGTTCACCATCGCGGTCGAGAATCCATGAATGAATAAATCGATTAAACATTGCGCGCACTTTGTATCGCACTATTACATATTAATTCTGACAGTTGTTGCCATAAATCGCGACTGATTGCCATATAAAACCCTCTCGCTCTTATATCTTTTAAGTCCAAAGCGTAAATTTTGAACAGCTGATTAACTATTTCATTCTTGTTGTTGTATTAATGTATCACTTTTTCTTTGTTTAGCTTTTGCTACTTTAACTAGCATTAATTACACTTTTTACAATTGCACTTTATAACTAACTCGAGCATTTTAGCTTTTATTCGCTGACACTGATCGCTCAACAAGTGTGTCCTTAAAGAACGTAATCGAGCATATCACTTTAGCAATTTAAAAAAATTACTCTTTTTCTTTCAGTATCATTCACTCACCGTAATTTGAAACACCGCAAATGTTTTTTCTGACTTCATGAAATGAACAAAGGATTCACGATGTGGACTGTCCGAGTGTCCGATTCGGTGTTCTCTGATCTACTGGTGGTCTCGTTGCCGCGCGCCACAACTGATTCATCCATCCTCACGTCACGATCGCCACTATGACGTTATACCGAGAACGTACGTATCACGGCCGTCCGGCCGTGGTTTCCCCATGTCGTAGGAAAATACGATCGTTACTGTAATTAAAGCTACGCACAGTCCGGTAAGCTATTAACACTCGCCGTAGAATTCTTCTTATCTCCTCGCAAAATCTTTCTTGTAAACTGCAACCTCTCTGCAAGATTAACTGGTGATATAATTGAACATGTTTATCAATGAGCGTAATCGTGAGCGGGATCTTGAAAGAAAGAAATTACTAATTAATCCTTTGCATTATTAGCTCCCGCTACTTTTGTTATTATGGCACAGTTTATAATTTTCATTATATATATAATATGTAATATAATAGTAAATAATCTTTTAATTATTATTAATTTCTATTATTTTTGTTATTAAGTTGGATACTATAATTTCAATTATAGTTATAATTATAATTATAATTAAATAATTTCTCTTTTATATATACTACATATATAATATAGTAACATATTATAGTACATTACAACAGTAATAAATAATAATATGTTATAATAGTACAATGTAAAATATGTACATACTTTAGTCGTTCCTTTTTATAGAGGGAACGATATAATGAAACCAGCTAAGAGTTTTCAACAAAACACACATTTGGCACTTAATCGTCGCACCTTTTGTTGTTTATTCTGCTTCAAGCATCACAAATATATTTTAGCGATAATATATAGAAAGAGGAAGAGAATCAGACGATGTCAGTTCACGACTATCGCGTGTACTGGCCATGTGTGTCTCGGCCGCGATTTAGAGTCACGCTTCAAGGTCTTCTTCCGGCGGAACGGTTTGTGGAAGGGAGAATGGCAATGATCCAGGAAGGCACATTCGCGGATTCGTCGCTATAAATACAAATACGTTGTTCGCATTTGTTCCCCCGCTTTAGTCGCGATCACAAGCGCGGCGGCGCTTTTTTTTTTGCAAAATACCTCCGTCGCGTGATAATGATATTCATAATATTCATGAGACACTTTGCATTTCTGCATTCTCGGTCTACACGGATGGTGATCTACATTTCGCATCTGTCCCGCCGATCTAGAAATTTCAAGAAGGCGTCATCAGGTGTTTTCCGGAGCTCTTCGGACTTTCCGCGTTACATTTACATGACGCAAATTGACGCGCGCGAACTCGAACGTTACTGGAAAGTTGACGATTTCGAATACGCGCGTGTGCACCCGACAGAATAAAGCTAGCAGAAGTTTCGAATTAAGTCATCGCGACCTTCATTACACTCGTAATTCCATTTATTCCGAAGTAAATGAATCTAAAGTTGTTCTGCTTCGAAAAAAGCTCCAGTCATGCCTCTCGTAAATGACGATTAAGATCATTGATAGTACGTGGTAAACACCAACTAAGTAATGTTACATTAATAATATATAATTTCTCACTCACAATAATATAAATGTATTGTAATACATGTTTTACATAACAGTTAAGTAAGAAATTATAACTTTATCGAATAGAAAACCATAACATTAATGTGTTGTTACTGTTAATGGACGTTTATTGGAGTAGGATGATCAGACAAAAATAATTACGAAATGATAATAACGATGTAGATGTAATAATAAATATAAATATATGAAAGCGTAATTATTTGATAACTACTGTAGCAAGTTCGCTATCAAATTATCCGTAAATCCCTATTATTATGAAATAATATATTATATACAATATAGTGCCCGATAAATACCAACTGACATTACGTCAATAATATAGTAAATTCCAACAAAATGCAATATGCAACAAGTGTTAAATATTACAGTTAAGTAGGAAATTATAACATTGATGTAATGTTATTATAAATTTCTGTTTACTAGAGTAGCCTCTGTAATAATGACAATAATAATATGGGTTATAATAAGTATCTATAGATATGCAAGTGTAAGCATTAGCGAGTTCGCTATCGAATTATCATGTCGCCAGGGAAACCGGTGTCAAGAGAGAAAGTGGGAGGAAAGTATTTCGCGATCGAGACATTCCTATGGTGGTGCTCAGGTATTCTTCGGGCTTGGCCAAAAATGGAGAACAGCAGCAAGCAACAGCGACGATTCCTATCGAGCTTCCCTCCGAACTTCTCCCGCTGGAAGATGTACCTCGCGTCTACGTTTCTCCCAACTACTCATTAATAATTAATCGCGTGTCCGTTATGTAAAGCAATGAGTAAGCGGCAGATAAAGTAGTCGACCGGCCAGTGAAAATGGAATCGCGCGAACATTGCGCTCGCTGTCGCGCTAAATCGATTGTCCGTTATAAGAACGACGACCCCTGTGATCATTGTCGACCCCACGTCCTGGAAAAGCGGACGGCCTTCTCTCCGAAAAGACACTCGCCTGAATGTCCCAAGACCCGAACCTTCGAGGAAGAAGAACGGAGGAACGGTATGATAATTTTTTAAATTTATCTTCTTTTTTCACTTGGAGATCGAACAAGACACAACGTAATATCGACAAGGCTTCTTCATACCTACGACAATGCTTAGAATTATTATTTAAAAATTAAATAATTATAATTAAAAATATTTGAATATATATATTAATAATTACTTAACACAAACATTAATAATTAGATTGTGTTATAAAGTTTTTGTTTCTTAATAACTGAATGATGATTGGTATTTTTAGATGTTAAAAAAGAATATAAGAATAAAAAAGTTCATTATCTACAAATTTTAAAAATTGAAGACTTTATGTTTTAAAAAACTACTTGAACAATTTACAATTTTTTCTTGTTTACGAAGTAAAATATAACATCAGATGTTGAAGAACAAAAATCTTATCAATCAGCGTAATTTTAAATAAATATTGCTTATAAATTTTATTATTTCAATATTGTTAAAAATTGTATATATAGAAGGGGCTTCTACTATAACACTTATTTTAATATATTGTAAAAAAATCAAAGTTCTGTGGAAAAAGACCTATACAAAAACTGTTCATTATTTATTGAGACATGAAGAGTTGATTTATTCCACTATTATTTTAGTAATATATTAATAATTATTTAATAATCATTCATATATATTTCTTAGCTCTAATTTACATAATTCTTTAACATAAAAGAATCTTTTTTCGCACCAGAGATCGCCGCTTGCGTCGACAAATTCGCTTTAGCGAAGAGGTTGCACGCAGAAAACCTACAACATCAGCCGCTTCCGGATCGGGTGGACGACTCCATCTTCAGGAAAGAATGTCGCGCTTGTTCAGCAAGCTACAAACGAAACGCAAAGTGGAATCAGGATCGAGCAAATCTCGCAACGAGAATGGAACACCGCTTCGCACCTGCACTCGGTTGCAAGAAGCCGGAAACCCGGATGGACCTGGCGATTTGCTGGGAAACGCCAATAGATCCGGTATACGAACCTCGCAAAGCGACGCATATCGACGGTTCCGAGGGCGGCTCAGCCCCGGCGATCTTTGCCATGATCCAGCACACACCGGTGCCGAAGAATCGCGAGCTTCTGTCTCGTAACGAGGAGAGGAACAAGTGCGGTTGTACGAGGCAGATCAAGGTGGAGAAAGACTCCACTTGTTCTTGCAACGGTGAGGAATAATGTAGCACGGAAAAGAAAGGATTACTTAAACGCCGAGCGAATCGATCGGTCGTAATAGTTTAGGACAAGGAATGTTCAAATGCGGTTAGTCGATTCGCTTAATTAATACTTAACTTGTTTTTTAGAACTTTATGTCATTTACTCATTTATATATACTTTCGTTCTTTCTGTCGTGTTTTACCCATAATTTAATTATAACTTTGTAGGAAATTAAATTACTAATCGTTAAATATTATTAATTATTGATCTTACATATTATGTATAAATTAAACTATTAATATATCATATAATCACTAATTATTTATTATAAATAAATATAATTCTATGTATTTTTAATATAAAACTATTGCTAGTGTTAAATTTATTAATATTTCAGACTGTGTAACTTATAATATATTTACGTAATTTATATAATATATTGTATATTATTTACTTAGTTTATACATATAATAATATTAATATATAATAGTGTTTTATATTATCCGCTTAATTATGTATTTATATAACATTATATATTATTTATAAAGAGAAGTATATAGAGAAGCAGTGTTAAACATTGCGTAAACGAGAAATTAAATAAACAATTAATAACAAATTCGATTGTAGAACTCTGTGGCGAACGGCGATGCGAGATCCCGTCGAGATCAAATTCCGTGCCGCGCATCACCGAGCGCAAGTGCACGGCTTGCCGAGGCGGTGAAACGGAAGCGGAACTCGCGCGGCGAAGAAAGGATCCGAGACTGATTCGGTCTGCGGTGGGTTTCGCGCTCGGTCTCGAGGAAAAGCGCGGGCCGACAACGGGCGACGACGTCGCGCGCAGAAACGGATTACCGCCGATGAAGATGACGGTGCCGCGGCCGAGGACTCCCTTCGCGAGGCGCGCCTTCTGCATTGACACCCTGGCACCGCCGTTCAGCGTGATGAATGGCTGCCGAGATGCCGATTACCCCGAGCACTGGCGCCTCATGTCCGTGTACCAGCAGTCGTACAGGAATCCGCAAAAACGAAGGACTCGCCGCTTCTAGGCCGAGAATGAGCCTGATAAGGAGGGTGATATGGATCTATTTTATGGTTTAATTAACTATTATAAATTAAGTACAGTTTTATGCGATGAATCTCTTTTGAGATTGTCTGCTGTCCGTTAAAGAACTAATTCCGAGTGATTATTGTTAATTGTTGATCCGTTATAACAGTAAGAGAATTTTATAATGCATGTTTTGTTGAAGTTTTCATTGTTAAATGAACGATTAATTCTCACAAAGAAACGTAGGAAAAAATCTTTCTTCGATTCCAACGAGCTTTTCTAATATGTCGTTTATAAAAAATAAAAAAATTTTACATGTTTTTATTATTATTACAAAGTACTCATAAAAACATTTAATTTTTAAATATTTATGATAAGGCTCAATAAGTATTAAACTACTAATATAATGAAATAAGGGCAATGAGCTAATTTTCATTAAAATCTTTAAATCAATCTAATATATTGCGAAGAATATCACGTAATGTTGGCGTTTCGTCCCGGCTTCCACTACTGGACTCATCAGTAAGGTATTGTAATGGAAGCCTACCTTAGACGCCTGTTTTAGTTATTAAATCGAGATTCTATATATACAGATATACGCGTATCAAAGCACTTGCGAGAATCTTAACGAATATCTATAGACCTCTGATTTTAATGAAAATTAGCTCATTGCCCTTATTTCATTATATTAGTAATTTAATTTTTATTTATTAAAAAATTGTTTTTTATCTTTTCTAGTTTTCACAAAAGAAGTACGTATAAATACATATAAAAAATATCCCTTATTTTAATCTAGATTATAACATTGAAAGCTTATCAAAATTGGAAAAGAATGTTTTCCTGAATTTCCCTGTTAATAGATTGTTTTACGTAGCTCAATAAAATGTTACCGTTATATAATAATTATATAGTATAGTAAAATATGAATAAAATTATATTAAGAAGTTATAAAAAAAGGACACAGAGTTAAAATAATAATAAAGAAAACTAAAATAAATGAGGAATAAAAGTACAGAATCTCTCGTACATTTCCACAATGTTCGCCTTAGTCCTTCTTCTTGACTTTTATACTGCTGATATTGATGTTCCCGGACATCCTCGTCGGTGAGTCCGGCTCACCAGCCTTCTCAAGTAATTGCGTCTGTTCCGGGCGTGAGAGCACGACGTTCTGCAGATGTGTCAGAAGATCAGGATACGACACCAGGGCGTTTTGAAAGTCGACACGCGACAATATGTAGACCTTGCAATTTTCAGCGGCGATGACACTCGCGAGCCAACGCTCGTCTTCCATCAGTAGAGCCAACTCACCGAAATACGAGCCGTCTTCTAAGTGACAGATCTGCGAAAATACGAATGATTCAACTGGTCCCCAGTAAACATCAATTTGAAATTATTGTTACTTTTAATTGATATTTATTGAATTGAGTTGTATGGATAAGAATTAGCGTATGTATTTACAAGATCTATTGATCAAGATTTTACTGCAAATGTGTGAATACGACAACCGACAATGTGAGGATAAGTCCAAGGTGGATTTCGCTAAACCTTCTACCTCTTTCTCCGCACTGTTGTAAACGACCACAGTACCGCAGGCGATAAAGTACAAAGCTTCGCCGCGCGCACCAGCTCTAACCAGCACGTCGTTTGACATGAAAATTTCGGAACGTATGGCACCGACAAATTGTGCCACCACTATTTCCGGCAGATATCTAAACAGCTCCACATCGTTCAGCAATCGGCGATAATTATGCAGAAGAAGTCTCTGAAAAAATAAAAAAAGTCTCAATTCTACAAGAAATTCTAATGAAAAAATTCCTATAATATCGTACAATATTTTTCAGAATGTATAATATTTTTAATTTATAAAGAAAAAATATTTTTTAATTTTTTTCAGATTCATAAGTGTTTTGTTTTTTTAAATTATATAGAATTAAAGTTTCTAAATATTTTAGAATTTACGGCTAAAAAATTTAAAAAAACATGTAAACTTTATTATTATTTTGACAAGTGTTTTTTTTTCTAAGAGTTGTATAAAAAGATTTTAAAATTTACATAAAATTTTTAAAAATTATATCAAGAATTCTAAACAAAATTTGATATATATGACTTCAGAAAAAGTTTATAGTATATTATTTTTATTCTTTTTACGAAATTTATCTGTTTTATTATATATATGAAAAGAAGATATAAATGCCGATCAGAATAAAAAGATTTTTAGTTGTAATTTTGCAAGTTTTATAGTAATTGACAGAAGCATATGGTCACATAAGAATATACTTTTGTATATTTTTTAAGAAATATTATTATTTCAAAACACTACCGCGTACTTCTCGCAAATAGGGGGATACATGGTTGATAATAATCTTGTCTCTCTCGAATCCCTTTTTGTTGCGGTAATTGTAATAAGCCAGCAATCGTCGCTGCAAGGAATACGGTAATTCCTTGTATCTCATGTACTGTTGCAGCTGCTGAATTAATTGTAAATGCCTTTTGCGAGTGGAATGAAATGTTATCATTAACTGCGAGACTTGCGCTGTACGGCCGTTACGAGAAAAAAAAAAGACTGTTTATTGATTAGTGAAACCACAAGACTTAATCTAGGATAAGTAAACTCATAACGACGAGAGAATTCTGAAAATTAAAAAGGAGGGACAATTTCAAAAATTTAAATCAGATGTATTATGAAAAGGTATAATAGCTTTAAGTTACTAAAGATCCTCTCTCTTTCTCTCTCTCTCTGTTTCTATACATATATATCCAAATATGTTCAGTATTTTGTTAAATTATTGGTACAATCTTTTATCGCTTAAAAATTAATTAATTTAAAAAGAAAAACACTTTCTTAATTATAAACTAATTAAACAAGGTGGACATACCCAGCAAATAAATAAATCCAAGCACTCCTAGAATAGTGAGAATTAAATTATATATAATATCCTCTGGGGTCCTGACATCCAAGTAATGCGTGGATGCAGTTAAGGCAATAATAGCTCTATTAACACACGTCAGGTAAATCGCGAATTTTTTTTTCCTTTTCAGCATGTAAGACGATCGTATCCATGATCTATAATTTTTTTTATGCTTTTGTTAAACTTTTCATTCCAAATATCGTGAGAGGAAAAATATCCCAGTAGGCAAATTGATAGTAAATTGTTGTCAAGTTGATATTAAACTCAGAGATGATGATAAATTTGATGTTAATATCTCTATTAGTAATAAAGTCCGTTTTACTAGAGCAAAGCTTGCGTATATAATCAGACAGCAAATTGGCAAAAAAAAATCGTGCATATTTAAGCTGTAGTCGGTTTTGATCGATTCTTACTATCAATTTACAGTCAGATTGTCAATAAATTTTAAATAGTTATTTTACCGATAATCTGTTCTCATGTTATGTTAGTAGATTTTTCTTATTTATCTACCATCAATTTACTGATAAGAAATCAATTTGCATTAAATTTGGTGCTTTTTTTATCAATATTTGTAGCAAGTATTTGACAAAATTTGTTTTCGACAAACTTATCTCTAACTAGGACCTCTTCAATACATTAAAATTATTATACATGTAAACAAAACACAATTTTAAAAAATAGCAGCCCAATCTTCAATCATCCTAAAGACATTGTCGAAGAACGTACTAAAAATATTCCCAAAATGTTCCTAGAACGTCCTTCGATAAAGCGTGCTATATGAGAGCTAAAATAGACAAATGATAAAATAAAAAGATGAGACAAAACAAAGAAAAAATAGAAAAAATGAAGATGCTTTCATATATATAATATTCTTTTTTGTTAATATACATAAATAATACATAAGTTCTGGGTATACATTTTTTATTTGAGATATTATGCCTCGAATCGAAAATTTAAACCCAGAACAATAAATTCTTTGGATTACTAACGCATCATTTTCTCCGACCATCTTGGCGACCGCCAGCGGCAAATAATACTCCAAACAAGCAGCCCAGTGCACGCATACAATGATAATGACGCTAATCTCCATTATCTTGTACAGATGGAAATTAATTTCGAATACCTGTAATTTTCATGTTTAACGTTTGAATGAGTAAGATTTCTATCAATGCGTCACATAGTAAAGAAGAATAATCGGGTACAAACATAATAGAGTCTGCGTGAGTAATTGATGACCGTTCGCATCCAAAGTATCTTCAATAAATTCAGTGCCGCCAGATACCACATCGATTTGAAGAGCACGATGAGAAATTCCAAAGGTAGCACTGGCAACACATTTATGACGAAGGAACCCCGGAGATATTTGCTACATATTTTTATCACCGCAAATCATTAAAAAATTAATTTTTCTAAATAAATTTTTAAATCCGTATTTTGAGAAAAGAATGGACATCGAAGAAATCACATAAAGCCATAAGAAATTTTATAACGCATAATAAATTTAAAAAAAATATAGATTTACAAAAATAAATTATAGAGATTTGTCCAATATTATGTGATTATCTCCATTAAAGCTATGGAGGGAAAAGAAGGATTGCGACATTTATTTTCATTTCCTTATTTAAATACGGATTCTATGTGTTATTTGAAAATATAGATTTTATTTATAAATATAGAAAACATAGAAAAAATAAGTTTTTCTATTATAAACTGATCTTAATGATTAAGTCTAAGTGTTCTGTATTTGTACCTCGCTACGACCTTTGGGTCCAGAACTATCAATTGTGTTTGAGAATCATAATAACCAGTAAAAAACCAGATCACAATGTCACATATAAATACGCTGTCGATCGCATGATTGAAAAAATACCATTTCTCAGGTTCGTCAAAATAAAATGTGAGAAAGATTGGAGTAGTCATTAAAGCTGCTATCATAAATAGCGTCATCATAGATTCCCAAAATATTCTACATAAATTTTGTCAGTTCAGTATTTTTTTTCGTTTTATAAGAACAGATTTAATCAATTCGTTATTTAACTCCGTTCGTAATTTTTTATGGAAAAATATCCTCTGACCTGAAAGTACTGAAAGGATGGATCATGTTGGGATGGGACTTGAGGTGTCGATTGATCTCATAATCGATCCCCTGGGTGCTTTTCAGAAAGTATTGCGTGGACGGATGCTTTCGCGACGCTATCCGAGTACCAAGGAACCAACGTCGTAGCCTCGACCAAAAAGAAGTTCCGGGAATCATTCTTACCAATAAATCCTCCTTCGGCGGTACCTCACAAATGTGCACCAAGCGCGGCTCACGCAGTAAATCCGCTTGCTTTAATATGATTATTATTTTTGATAATTGTTACAAATGAGAGAACTATGTATACTTTTACTTAAAACAAATTAAATTGCGTATCCCAGACAGCACACAATATTTATAAAATATTTACAAAATATTTATTTATATTTATCATAAATATTACAAAAATTATGTAAACTACATATATTTTAATAATATTTTGAATAAAGCTTTATATAAAATATATATAAAATATTTATATAACATTTCAAAAAAATGTGTGAACAGTAATAAATATTTATCATAAATATTTTGTGCTGTGGGATATTACTGCATTTCCTTAAATTCGTTTTATGTATTCATGGATTGTTGCAAAATATTGAAGGATTTCTTTGTATTGCATTAAAATATTCTTTTTTTTACTTCAATCCATATAAAGTAACAAATTCATACAATTTTTTATAAATATTATATTTTTTATTATGTAATATGTATTCAAAGAACGATACATAACGTATTTCACTCGAAAAGTTATATATATTATATTATTCTTTACTTTGAATAATAATTTTTCTAATTATTGATATACTTTCACGAATTTATTTTTCTCTAAAATCAGATTAGAAGTTAAACAAGATTTAGAATAGATTTCTTCCGACCATTAAGAACCGTACTTTCACCTAATTTTCTGTCTAAGAAAGATAGATTTACATATTTACTGTATATAATAAAATATCTATGGAAAAAGAAGAAAACTTAAAAGCGCAAAGAGTCTTGTACCATAGAACCTAATATGGCAAAGCGATTGCAATTCTTTTCTTTTCTTTAAAAAGGTAATTTTGTATGATATTATATACATACAAAAATTACCCTAAAATAAATTTAAACTTATAACTATTAGATAAGTTTGCTAAATCAAATGCTTATACTATTAAGTATCATTGAATAAGTGTAAAATTAGAATAGAATCTGTCTTCTTGGCATCTCCCCTGAATGATGCATACCTGCTTTGATGCCGTTGAGAGATCAGGCACAAAAGCCATTAAATCCATGCTGTTTTCTTTAACTGTGATTTCAAAAATGAATTTTCTAGTCTTTTCCCATCCACACGTCCTTTATCATTTTTTAAGAATATCTCGTTCTTTTGTAGAATCTTTCGTTATTTTCCATTTCCCTATTTAAATTAAAAAAGAGAAACAGTTATAATATATTTAAATATTATATGAAAATTATAGAAAATTTTCATTCTATTTCTAGTAATACTCAATAACACTAAAAATTAATTTACAAAAATATTAATAATGTACAAAACTAAAAACTAATAAGTCAAATAAATCAGAAACTAGACAATATAATATTCGCTTAATTCTTTTATTCGCGGCTACATTTTATGATCACAAAACGGTAGTCACCGAATTAAATGTGTTCACTGCGTTTAGTAATATCTCCTTAAACATCTCCGAATTAAAACTGTGTATTAAATTCACGTTCGGTTTGTTCGACAACAGATGATCGAGGACAACTTGGCCCCGTGTTCTGTTGCCGCCCAATTCGATGTCCGCGTGCCATGCGACAACATTCTTGGCCATACGAGGTATCAATACAATTCCAGCTAAGAAAGCATCGCACATGGTATAATAAGGAAAATGCTTTTTGGCTTGCGAGCGTCTGCTGTCCTCAATTATGTTCATCATGCGCACACAAGGTTTGTCTATTTTGCCTAGTACGTCTCTTCGCCATTCCTGAAAAAAATTTATTGCTGAATCTACTATTCTGCGCTAATAATACAGATTAAGTTGAATGTGATTAATTGCTATATTGACAATACAGAGTGTTTGATAAAACACTCTGTATATATAATTAATCTGTATAGTGAATATTTAATAATTGACGAAAATTGCAAATAAAATTGTATCTATGTATGTACCTACATGTGTAATTCTGGTCTCTAAACAGGACTCCCACGGTAACAACCATAAAGGTTTATTGATGCTGTTGAGTACGATGTGTACACTTTCCGGATCTGCGTAGAAATTAAATTCCGCCTGGGCAGTTACGTTACCCTGTGCTTTGAATACATTTATGAAAATTTAGATAAAGGAAATGATAAATGTTTATTGTTATTACAGCTTACACGTTTTCATTTACACAATGGAATATATTTAAACGTTGTATAGATGTTATTTTCTGTTCTTACTGATCACATACGCTTTTCTTGAAGCTTATCTATTATACGATTTATCTATGAATTTTATAATCTATATAGCAACATACAAGCTACTTATAGTCATATATCTATCATAATACTTTTAGTTCAAAATATCACGAGTAAAGAGGCTAACGCTTAACACTTTGCCACATATTTAAATCATACGCACTTACCTAGATTTAATATTTATATAAATATTTATCTCTAATATATTCTATGCTGTCTGGATCAATTTGAATACATATACATTCTCTACTTATGTATTGCCGTTTGTATGTAAACTAAACTACTTTACCCTTATTTTATGTTATGAATTCTGAAGAGGTTTATTAAATTAATTTAACAATGCAAGCTTGTCGAACCTCATTAACTATGTGTTGCTTAGAAGTTCATTGATAGAATTTGTAACAATATTGTAAGCTATATAATTTTCGATTAACGTGAATCATTTTATATATTACCAGTTGAATTTCCACCCATGACAAAAAATTCTTTCACATTCTCCACAAATTCCGGATACAGTTTTATAGCCATCGCTATATTTGTCAAAGGACCCAAGCAAACCACGGAGATGTTACCTTAATTAGAAGTCAATTATTACGTCTCATTATTAATTTAAAATTTAATATATAATTTATATTATATTATGTAATAGCAAGGATGAGAATTGTATTACCTGGATTCTCCAATGTGATTCTGTGTAAAGCGCACACGGCATGCTCTTCTTGCAGTTTACTTGTATCCGGATCATCGGTGAATGCATCTCCGAATCCATCGCCTCCATGATAACATTCTAATGCTGTTTCTTTAGCATTTGGAGTATCTAACAGAGACGAATACGCTCCTCGATAAACAGGTATCTATAGGAATAATTTCATGCTTTAAACTCTTAAAGGATATAAGGAAGAATTAATAAGGTCTATTCGCATTGTTTGAAATCACCCCAATTTTTTGCATTTTAAATAAGATAGATATATATTTGAGCGTTGAAAAGAAGGAAAGCGAAAATACAAGCAAGTGTTATATAAATATATATAACAATATATAAATACAATGTAAGCAATATAGGAGTTAGTATGAGAAGTAGTGCGCGAAAATCAACAATATCGATTTGAATAAAAACAAATTATAATATATTATTTTCAAATAAGATAAATACGTTTTAGTTTTAGATTTGAACGATCTTCAATATAATATAAAGTAAATTTTTTTAAATTATAATGGATCAAAATGTAACCGCATTTACGTAACCAGTCAAAAAATTAATAACAAACATTAACAATTAAGAAGGATCATAGTGTATATAGCATAATGTATCACCAAAGAAAGAAACAATATAACTCACATCCGTGCAGTCGCACACGTGCAGCGTTCTGAACACATTTCTCACCACATTGTCCACTTTAGTATTACCGTTAACACAAGTGATGGCCTTAACATTGAGTCTCTTGGTGGTGTGACCAGCCAAGAGAATGATTAAGGCCAAAGCGTCATCAATACCGGCGTCGCAGTCCACGATAATATTTCTTGGGACTTCCACCTCGTGCATCTTTATCTCTGATTTTGCCGCCGAAAGCATTCTTAATTTTTTACCGCAAAACAAAACGCACGTGAGGAACCTCCGACGTTATCACATTAAAGTGTAATTCAAACGAAATGTACTCCGGTATTTATTAACGAGTTGATAAGAAAGGCTATTGATTACGCGTCTTGTTTGTTGCTACGTAAAAGAGATAAAGGTTATTGAGTCTTATCAGACTCGTCTTTGTAGAATACATTCCTACCGGAAAAAAATCACATCATAAGGTTACATAACGAAATCATGTAATTAAAACAAGTAAGTTATATGATGGATTGTTCCAAATCATTATCTTATTTTTCAAAATTATATAATTTGAAAATTCATATGATATTAGAAATAATATCTTCGTCTTATGTGATTTTATAGTTATCGAATTTTAAAGAATTAAATAATAGGAATAAAAAAAAATTTATATCATTGTGTGACTTTTCAAATTACGTTATTTAAAATTTGATCCTGTGGGACTATGTGAAATATGTCATCTACCGCAAGTGTTTTGATGTCCTGGCACCCATTACTGGACTCGTCAGTAAGAATAGTGGGAGCCTGCCAGACACCTGAGGGAGTCCTAATTCGAGGGTCTATATAAAAGGATTTCGTGTGTCTCGAATACATGCGAGAATTGGCGTGAGTCTCTTCCTTGGACCTCTGGTGGCAGGTCGCCACAAAAAAAAGTCACGTACTGATTTGGAACAATCCGTTAATGTAATTTACATATTTTAATTACATGATTTCATTATGTAATTTTGTGGCGTGAATTTTTTCAGTAGGGATGTATGTAGTATAGTTACATATGTATATTAGGTTGGGGGAAAAAGTCTTTTTACACACACACACACACACACACACACACACACATACATATTTGTATAATATAATAAAATGACTCTTCCCCAACTTATTATTTATTGCGAAATTTTTGTTGCAATTATATCATTTTTGATACAGCAAAGTTTCAATTTTAAGTCTGTTTAATAATAAGAATCTGTTTTTTTTTTTTAATTGCGGTATGATGATTGTTAATGTAGTTATGATCAATCAAAATATCAGAATGATCCTTTATAGTTAACTCGCGAATAAAACTCACGAACAAAAAATCGTAGAAATATGTTTAAAAAATAATTTTGTAGAGAAAGCTTCAAGCTTTCACGATATAGATATTCGAAAAATTTTCGTAAATTTTTGTCGGCACGTGAAAGTCCCAAAAAAGTGAAAAGATAATTTTTTATCATTTTCTGCAGCTCGCAGTTTTTATATGCAAAATGTTCTGTTTGGACTAATAATATTGCCTTATTGCATAAAACTAAATTTATCAGTAGTTTTAGAGAAGTCGTATTTCTGAACGCGTTTATTTAGATTATTTCTCGCTCTGATAAAAAAAGTTGATCCTAATATATTTTGAATACGGAATCTGGTTCGTAAATTCACTAATTAGAATCAAATCTCATAGGAATCTTGTACAAATCTTATAGAACTTGATAAAATAATACTATAGAATTCGCATAGCCGATCAATCGTGATGCTCGCGAAGTCGACGATAGAAAATAATATAAACTTATATAAAACACGCACAAAATATAAACTGATAGAAATGCTATCGTTCTTAATTGTTCTAACGATTTATAAATTATATTTATTATTTCAGATAGTTTAAAACAATACTGAGAAATTCGAAATAATTGCACTTTTGAATTCTCTTGTTATTTAAACACAAAAGAGGAAAATCTTATTGAATTCGAGAATAAAAATAATATTATTAAAATAAAATACAGTGTATTAAATATACTTTATAGTACTATTATGCATAATTTATAATTGTATTATTTAATATATGAATCTATTATTAAATATCCTATAGTAAGTAAATTAAATTTTATATGTGTGTGTGTGTGTGTGTGTGTGTGTGTGTGTGTGTGTACTTTTACGTAATTACAAAATTATTAATATATTAATATTAATAATAATATTAATATTAATAATATATTAATAATATATTAATATTAATAATAAATATGTATTATTTTAAATGCAGTAAGAAATATTCCTGAACAATTTTTGTAACCTTATCTGCATTTGTGTGCAGAGAGAGAAGTGGAAGGAAAGTCTCTTTAATCTCGATGCTTTCGTCCAATTATAATTCTCGTGTTGCGCTTCAAAAAAGATTTTTGAAGAAAAATGAGGTTATATATTCTGATAAAAATGTTAAAAGAATTAACCTGCTTAACAGCAAATTAGAATGACAAACAGATCGATTCGAACAACAAAAGATCGATTGCGGCGAATTGCGAGTACGATATTTTGCAACAGACGCGACCTCTAGATGTTTATAATTTTACTATACCTAACCTAATCGAACACTTAACCTAGTTTAGTTAAGTGTTCTTTGTAGTGTATTGTTGTATACAATTTTCTTAAAAAAAATTGGAAAATTGTGTAAATAGATTATTAGAAAAATAATAACGCGAAGCAAGAGACTTTTTGCTAAGCTAAGGTAATAAAAGAGGTTTTCAATCAGAATGACCAAATAAAGAAAGAGTTAGATTTGTGATATTTGTATAATTCAGCAAGCAAATTAAACAAAACATTTAGCAGCTTTGTTTTAAAATAATAATTATTTTTTATAGAAAAAATTGAGATTATTACCTTCCATTCTTTAAAAATTCATAAGGAAAACATGGCTGTGGTGGTAGAAACTACCATAGGAGATTTCACAGTAGATCTTTATACCGAGGAACGTCCTCAAAGTAAGTACTTTTTCATAAATTGCAATTTATAAAAATAAATATTTAAGATTTTTATATATTGCACTACATGAATTTGCATTATATCTCTGTATCTAGATCTGTTCTTTAAACTTTTTGTATTTGTTGCATTTTTCATTTATCCTTTTTCTTTTTGTGTTTAATTATTTCCTTTTTGTATCTGATTATGTTTTATTTAAGTTTTTTGAATTTTTAGTATCTATTTCGAGTGCACAAAGTATAATAATACAGTTATAAAGAACAAACTTCTTTTTCTACATGATTATTTTTGTCTTTACAGCTACACGGAATTTCCTGAAGTTGTGCAAACTGAAGTACTACAACTGGAACCTCTTTCACTCAGTGCAAACCAACTTCATCGCACAGACTGGTGATCCCACCGGTACTGGGAAGGGTGGAGAGAGTGTATATGGTATCGTACTAGGTGAGAAGGCCCGTTATTACGAGGCTGAACAGATGCCAAAAATCAAACACACCCGTGTAGGTTTGCTGTCCATGGTGAATTGTGGGAATAACATGCTGGGCTCACAGTTCTTTATCACCCTGGGATCGGAGCTGCAATCCTTAGACAATGAACACTGTGTATTTGGAGAGATAACAGAAGGATTGGAGGTGGTCCTCAAGTTCAACGAGACTATCTGTGACGGAGATCAGAGGCCATATCAAGACATAAGGATATCCCATACTGTCATCTTGGAAGATCCATTTGACGATCCTATGGGGTTTGTAGTTCCTGACAGAAGTCCGGAACCTACAAAGGAAGCTTTAATGGTACGCATTTCAAAAATGACAAGCAATTCCATCGTATTCTTTTCGATTTTTTGATACCATTGGTTCAATTTATTTTTATTGTCTATCAAGATTATATCGAATATGATAAAAAGGCACAAAAAAAAAATTAAATATTAAATAAATTTAATCACAGTTGATAGGATAAATAAGTTTGCAAACATAATTTCTTTCTTGTCTTTTACTTATTATAAATGTTCATCATATTTAAGAAATTTTTACCCTTATTATCTCTTTATTTGCTTTTTTAATCCATGTATATTTATGTTTAGAGCGATAGAATTGGAGCTGATGAAGCAATCGACGATACTGGCGGCATGACCACGGAGGAAATCACAGAAATGCAGAAGAACAAGGAAGCAAAGGCGAGAGCCACGATATTAGAGATTGTGGGTGATATACCGGACGCGGATATTGCTCCGCCAGAAAACGTCTTGTTTATCTGTAAATTAAACCCGGTCACAAACGATGACGACCTCGAAATTATTTTCAGTCGTTTCGGAAAAATTGTTGGGTATGTAATTTACATTTTGAAGAAAGATAGTATTCTTATGCTTTTAATTATAGTTCTTATTATCAATAATTTTTTGCGAAGGCAAATTTTGTGCAAAGATTGTGATGCGAGTTATGTTGGTCAAACCAAAAGAAAATTAAAAATTAGATTAAATTCACCTTACTTCACCTTAAAGTTTCTTCTCATTTTCAAAAAATCTCTTGATACAAAATGTATACCAAGTTCTCTCCATTGCATATTTGCTTCAACAATTATATATATCAATTTGGATTTAATTAAAAGTTACCAAGGTATATATGCATGTATATTTGTTTTATTTCAACATAAATTGTGTGATTTAGAATAAAATATCTATTTATATATATTCAATGTAATTTAAGTATCACTGAATTATATTGTAATTTTTATTATTTGACAGAATTCATATTTTTACTTGTTTATCAAGACTATGAAATATTACTGCGATAATATGAACAAAAAATATTATATTAAATTATAATTTTCCAAATAAGAATTTTATATTCATAATCAAGGACAAAGAAATCTATGTTACAAGTAGTCAGTCAAGGACACATAATCACAGAGAAGCGAACACACTAATATGTATGTTACGATCGTTATAATTTAAACATTGAAAATGACCCGATCGAAACATTTAATTGTTTTATGTTTTGTTAAATAATATGTATATTCATCGTTGTTAAATTAAAAAAATTTATTAGGCTCGTAGCCTTTCTTTTATATCATTATTTAATTAATGTTTTCTTAATTATTTTATTTGATGTATCTCAATTTTTTTATTATGATCTATAATCTATATATTATATGTTTATTAAATCTTATGATTCACTGACTTTGCAGCTGCGAAGTTATAAGAGATCACCAAACAGGCGACTCCTTGCAGTATGCATTCATCGAATTCGCCGATCGCAAGAGTTGCGAGGATGCATATTTTAAAATGGATAATGTTCTGATCGACGACCGAAGGATACACGTGGATTTCTCACAATCAGTCGCGAAGATGCGTTGGCGTGGCAAGGGAAAAGGTATCCGGTATTTCGATGAGGACGACAAGCCGAAGAAACGCGAGGAAAATTATTCTTCAAGGAAACCTGACGCATTACACGACAGGAATCATGACAACGGTAAAAGCAAAGAGGAAGGAAAAAGAAAGGAGAGCGATAAAGATCGTAGTTCCGAACACAGAAAGCACGAGCGCCGAAGAGAAGACAGAGATAGAAGAAAGGAAGATAGATCGTATGATGATCATTATGAGAGAAATAAGTACGGCATTGAACGAAAAGATAGAAGAAGAAAGGAGGAACGACGAGATAAGGATAGAAGTGATCAGAGGAAGGGTCACAGCGAAGACAGATTGGAAAGGAGAGGCAGAAGGGATGATTATAGTGATAGGGAACGGCGGCATCGTGATAATGAGAGGAAAAGGCCGGACGACAATGACGATACGAGACACAGATCGCACAAACATAAAAGAAAACGGTGAAAAAAATAGATAAAAGGATTAAAGAAGCTTCATTAAGCTATGTATTTACTAAAGGAACATAGAGCAACATTTGCATTTCCGTTTGCTTTCTGCGAAAGTTCCAATATTTCTCTCGATGTTTCTCAAGCCTATTTTATAATATGCTTTTTATTTCCTGCTTCTTTCGAAGTTCATTAATTTTTATTTCGAGCAACAGAAAGCGAAAAACAGAATAAGTAAAAAGATGAATATAAGAAACAAAAAGTACATTATAGAATAGGCATTATTGCAGAAAAAAAACCTAATTTTATATAAGAGTAGAATATTTTATGAGTTTATCTAGTGGAGACAAATTGTTTCTAGAAACAATAGGCAACAAAAAAGTTCCTCAATGTTCCTTTGGTGGAGTAAGGTATATTTAAGACCATTTTTATAATTAAGAAGTATGATCTTAAAACAATTTCCTTCCTATTGTAAAACAATGAATAAACGCACAGTTTACAAGAGGGGCTTTACAAGCTGTAATTCAAACGTTTCTTTTTTTACATCGAGTAAAATTGCTAGTATTCTTTCGAGTATAAAACATTGAGAAAGAGATATTCATTAAATCAATCGGCAAAAAAAAACGGGGCGTCGATCGACGCACGCACTTTCTTAGCAGATCGATGAAGGCGATTTTCGCAAGGCCACGGGAAGCTCTACAGATTCTAAAACTGGTAACAGCGCGTGCGGTAAAGCTATCGAAACCACGGAACTTTCATTCGACAAAGTAGTAGTCTCGACGGGGCGTGACGCCGATGATCGCCGTAATAGATATGACGATAAGTGATCAGAACTGATTATCGAACGGCTATATAAAAAATAGAGAGCGAAAAACGATTTGGCGGCGTACTGTTCGGGCACCGCCGCCCGATTTAAGGAGAACCATATTCTCTCACAAAAGTGCTCGGCGCACTTTCCGAGTCCAAGTCCCACTTTAAATATTATAGGAACGATAACAAATTATTTACGATTTACGTGGACATGCAGGTAATGAGCTGCGCAGCTCGCGGGCTTTCGCAGAACGCTCTTTTGTTTCTTTGGTGACGTCGCAATTTGGTATTTTGGATTCTTGCCCAGCAGAACACAAACTAACAATAGCGTCACTTCAATCGTTACGTTATTTCAATATTATAATTTCCTCAACAATAGAGATCAGAGACTAACAAGGGAACCCTCGCGAGGTACTAAATTTTGATTTTAATGAAACTCTATAGGGTAAAAAGATGTATTTAGAAAATATCAATTACGACGAAAAAATTTGAAGAGATGAAACTCTTTTTATGTGTAAAAGAGGTTTCAGTTTTTTCGTTATAAACTTATTTGAGATATCAAAAAATGTTTCACAATAAAATTGTAAGATTAAAACGAAAGATTAACGAAGATTAACGAACTGACTAGTAAGTTCAATCTTAATCATGCCTTATCTCGTCCAGACGGATACTATGTTGTCGTCCGGATTCCGGACGAGATTTTGGCATAATTAGCTGTATAATTTATATCGAGTTATTTAAGCATTGAAGATCCCGCTTAATCATTTAAATCTTTTCATTGTGTATTCATATTATAGTTCTAAAAGCCTACTTTGTTTAATAATGTACTGTTTTCTTTGCTAGAGAGGGATTCGCTGACTGACTGATGCTGTTTACAGAAAAGAGTCAGAAACGCAAGCATTCGTCTTCATTTCCTCTTTAAGCCGCAGTTTTCTATAGTTTGGTGTAGGGAAGATGTGCTTCAGTATATCATAGAACTCTCTGATTACGTTACATTTACAGTGTTGAGTATGGGAATTATAATATTTATATAACATTACTGTTTGTCTTCTGCAAGACAGATATAGGAAGGCACACTGGATCCTCGCGATATCCTCGCTTCATTCGCCCCTCTCCTCACGCGGTCGAGAGACGGGAAATGTTTCGGAAACAAAGATCATGAAGAAACGAAACCGATCGGTTGCGATTCGCAATTTTCACGTTGCTGGATTAGGGAAAAAAAAGATTACCCACACGGAATTATGTAGCAGATAGCACATATATACGCGATCTTGTCTCACTATTCATTCGTCAGGTTTTGTTTTACGTATCACTTCCGAGAAGAGAAACGCGCTCGGCTTTTATTCAAGGGTTTCCTTCGACAATTCTGAACTCTTCAGCTACTTTGCGATCTTTGTGTCGTAGTTACCTTATAACGCCTATTTCTTTTTTTTCTTTTTAAATAGAGAGCCCTATCGCACATATCGTAGCTTCGCTACATCACAATCGGTCCGTATCCATACGTTACAAGTTTCGAAAGAAAATTTAGCTTAATTGCGCCGTATTACATGAAACGTTCTTTATATGTTCCAGGAAGGGGAAAACAGAACTATACATTAAGCGCGTACGCGTGCATATATTAGATAACTAATTTCCAATATGTAACACAAATAAATACGATGAATTATATTAGGAGACATTTATGGTACACAAGGTAATTCTTTAATTTGATATTCTCTACTTCAGAGGGTGAATTCGAAGGCCAAAAACATATCATTAAAAAATAGATCATTTAAATTTTATTTTCCGAGCATTTTGTTTCTTGTTTTGTGTGTAACTCGAAAATTTTTTATAAATCCTTTAAATCATCAACATTACAATCATTATTTCGAATAACTTTAAAATATGTATATTTGTGATTTTTTAAATCTTTTTTTAAAAAATTAGAGCAAAAATGAAAAAAATATTTTAAAATTTTTTAATTGCTTATCAATTTAATAAGTGATATTACTATTCTGCTCATGATTAGATTTTAAGACCAAAAAAGATTTCGGCGCACGGTGTGCAGAATCAGATATATGGATAGGCATATATAAATTCATACATCCGCCTTGTCTTGATTGAATATAGAATTTCTCTCACTTAATCAGATTTATCTTTTTGGTGTCCAAATTCGTATCATAACTGTTTAAAAAAAGAAATTCTTTTTGTCTAAATTTTCGTTGAAATAGCAAATTATAATACAGCGAAAAGCGAGCTTTAAACTTTAAAAATGTTATTCTATTCCAAGATATAATGATCTACATTTACATCTTGGATATTCCATGAAAGAAAAAAAATTATGGAATCTTCAGGAGTCTTAACACATTTCTATCACTAATTAATAAAACAAATTAAAAAATTAATAGAAAAAATTTTGGTTAAAGAGAAGTGATTTCCAGTTTGGAATAAAAGTTGATAAAATATCAATTAAAAAATGAAGAATTGTCACCCCCTGGAGTATTAACATATAATTAAGAATTGACTTGTATTATACATACATATATTTATATATATATATATGTAAATATATATAATCTGCTGCGATATATTTTTTTGTAATTCGCTCGCGACTCTCCCATGCTCATATAAATAAAGGAAATCATCGATTCAAGAGATTAATGAATTAATGGTCAAAATTATTAAAGCCACATTAGATCTAACTAGATCTCAAAAGATCTTCTTGTCAGAGTGTTTACTGAATCCTTGTAAAAAAATTCCCGGATTTTTCAGGTATTTTTATTCAAAATTCTAAGAAGGATTAAAGAACTTTTTAATATAATTTATAACTATAATTATTGATAAATTTGCATTTTTTTATTAAGAATAAAATGATCAAAGAAATACTATTTTCAGAAAGAAAATAGTTTTTCTTTGATCGGAATTCAAATTTAAAAGTAACATTTAAAAAATTTTCATGAGTACCGATAAGGTTTCATGAAAATGCTTGATTTTCAAGAGTAAAAAATAATTCTCGAAAATTCTAGATTTTCAAATTTTTTTAGATAGTAAAAACTCTGAACTTTTATTATCAGTCCTAGAGAAGATCTTTTTCTTGCTTTGTATTGATGTATACAGCGGTCTGTACAAATATTGACAGAACACAGAGACGCATATTATAATAATAATAATAATAATAATATATAGATATATCGCAAGAGATAATATACCTAATAAAGTTTTACATTTTAGCGTTTTTCGTTTATCGCTTTGTTCCGTGTTCTAAGCGCGAGAAGACTAACTTAATCGTCACGCGTCCTGAAAAAAAATAGTAACGTCAAAATAACAGCTAGGTAAATGAGATAATCCGACTTTCTATATCTACGTGATCTCCAGGAAAGATTATTACATTACGATAAAGCTACGCGAAAAGAAGTATCGTCTCTATATCGAATAACGTGCATTATTACGTGTTACGTGCCGCCGAAACTGAGAAAAGAAAGGAAGGAACATCAAGATGTTTACTGAAATCTTGTAAAAAAAATTCCCTAAGAATTTTTGAATTTTAAGTAAAATTAGAGAATTTTTAATGCAATTTTAAAATAAATTGGAGTGTATGCAGCAAATAAACTACATTAAAAATTAATACACCTAGAAACAATGATTATATATCAACATTGTTTTTTCAATAATAAAAAGTAGGGATTTCATTAGACTATGTCTATCATACAAATGAATTCGAGTCACGAAATTTGTAAAAAAAAGTACACAGAAGGTTCATTATATACAATATAGAATTAGTAAACTACTCTATTGTTAAGTATTGTTTTCTACTTTGATTTATTTAAAAAAACTCGCGAGACATACGAGAATACATATTGCTAATTGATTGTCAACACTTTACATTTTATCAAGAAAAATTAAAGCAGTATTTTTTTTTCAGAAAGGGATAAAATTTAAAAAGTAAAATTTCAAAAATTTCTCTAAATATACAATTTCATACTAATGCTCGACACTCATTTTTTAAGTTAAAATAGGCCAATGTCAAGCGAATATCAAGCGTCAATTTTAATCACGTTTGACGTTAAAAGCACCTATTTGATGCTAAAGCATTATCAAGAAAAATTAAAGCAATCTTTGCAGAAAGACGCTAAAAATAAACGTCAACATGAGAAATTACCTTAAATTCTAATAAAATTCCATAAAATTCCCTGATTTTCGAAAATAAAAAGAAATCCTCTGATAATTTCAGGTTTTCTAGATTTTTTCAGATAGTAAACACTCTGAATTGTTCCAGGATCAAAGTGCGTCGACGCAGTTCCTTTCCACTTGCAACTCGGTCCTTCCTTCCTTCTCGGCGCCCAGATTTGATCAATCTAGGATCGAGCTTTCGGAACTGAAGAATCAACATGCTTTTGTCGGAATAGAAAATTCC